CTTCGCAGTGAAAGAATTGCAGTCAAGAGGACCATTTTTCTGACAAGTTACCAAATATTAAAGTGTTAATGATAATAACCTCACATACATATTGCTATTACTAATTTTATGGTAATGATCTTAAAAAGGGTATAGTTGAGATTGAAAATAATTATAACTTTTTTCAGTGTATATTCTGAAATGCTGTTTTAATCAGTGACGAATTTATGTAGGAACTAGTGAACGCCGAAGCACCACTCGGAAGGGGACTCCATTTCAGTCACTTATTTTTAGCCCTTTTCATTCATTCAAACTTATATTTACTAAGCTTCTTAAGCTCATGCAGCTTTTCGTTGATTTCAATTAACGGGTGCTATGATATCCTGAAACGGTGCTCTCTGTACCTCTTAGAGTGGAATCTCATCGAAAATAAGTGAAAAGTGGTGAAAAGCCCGAAGCGATAATGAATACATCGGGTTCATTCTTCAATTACGAGTGAAAATATTCAAAATATTCAACGATTCAGAGTGGAGAATTCAATCTAAGTGACTCGGCGATGGCCACTCTCTTTCCGAGCGAGATTTCACTCGAAGAAATTTCGAGAGCATTAGCATAGAAGCCCCGAAAAGTCCGCCACTGGTCTCAAGTATCAACGTTTCTCACATTCGGCTTCCCTTTTCAATTTTCCCCTACGGAAAATACATGATATACCCCGCGTGAATATACGGCATGTAACACATCTATGAAATATAAATTTACAAATTTAACTCGAAGTTGCGAACGAGGAAGCTAACGACCGACGATGCAACCCGGCGGCGCGCGGAATCAAGGCATCTCCGGAACTGCCGGTCTCGGAGCTCTCTTTTGAGATACATATCGCGACACACATGCAACAATGTAACCGCGGTGTAACTTGACAGAGCGCGGATTTAATCGCACACTTTGTGCACACGTGTGTGTGCATGTATGTGTGTGTGTGTGCATACAGCGGAAACTCGAGCCGCGCGTCGAGAAGCGCGGATCTTCTCGGCGGAGCCCTTCGATCAATCTGACAACCCGATACAGCGGTGTAACAATGTAACTCAGCGCGGCGCGCAATTAAGCGCACGCGGCGCCGGAAATTCAAACCGCGTAACAGATGTCGAACGCCCTCGGTGACCCAGTAAGATGGATACACGGCGGCGTCGAGCGCCACGAGAGACCGCGAAATCCCTCGGATACGTCGTAGACAACGGCGTCGACGGCGCAAGAACGTTGATTCGGGCGCGACGTTCACCGCCAGGCGGTGGCTGCGCTTGTTCTCGGCTGCGTTCAACGAGCGGAACGGCGGAGCGATCTTTTGGAAGATGAATATAACCAGTACACGCACGGAGAGAACAATTCCATTGGTGTAAGTGAAGATTTCCGGGCGACCGGACGAAAATTCAGTTATATAATGAGGGAAAAAGACTTAAGAATTCATTTGTGAAATATAAGGTGAATGATAGGTGAGAACATTCGTGTGAACATTCAGCTGCATTGGAACTCGATGCGACAAGTGCGAGTGAGCGAGCAGAAACCTTCTACAGGAATTTTTCGATTTCCCACAAACCAGTTTTCGTCTGGTTTTTAGACATAACTCAGTTGCAACAACGGTATTAGTTTTTTTTTTCCGTGTGCATGGAAAAAAAGAATAAATTTCTACGAGTGAATAGGGACCGGGTGAAAACTAGGTGATGAGAAATGATGCCTCTGTTACCGCGACTGGGAACATTCGTGTGAATATTCAGTTGCATTAAAACTCGGCCGAGACAACTGACAGCAATTGGCTGAGCAGGAAACCTCCTACAGAAATCTTTTTGTTCCTATATAACCGAGATTTTCCCCGGATTCCCAGGTGATGAAAAATTCAGTTGCACTAACAGAATTGTGTTTTACGTGACAATGAACGAATCAACTTTAATTGAAGGAAACTGAATTTCTCACTCCTGTAAATTAAACTCGGTTCTTCATCTTTATTGCTTCCTTCAATCAAAGTGTGTTTGATTTGTTTGCTATTGTCGAGTAAAATCCAACATTTTCTGGTCGAAGGAAACAGAATTTCCAATTCTCAAGAACCAAATTCGGTTCTTACAGCCAGAAATTCGACTTCCTTCAATCAAAACGCATTCGGTTCGTGTTAGTCTCATCGCCAGATAAATTCAACCGGACTTTCTCTGGCTGAAGGAAACAGAATTTCTCGTCATCTCACGAAATTCTAACAACCGGGAATTCTACCGAAACGCATCCGGCTCTTCACCGTTAGATGGATTCCACCCGGCATTTCTTTCCAGTCCCAAAAGTGGCACACACCGATCACAGAAAATTCCTACTCTCGGCGCTTGCACAACGCGCGTTCTCGCCGGACGCAACCTCTCTCTCTCTCTCTCTCTCGACTTCGCGCGCGCGGTATCGACGACCGCGAGATCTTCCCGAAGCCCTTCGATCCGCCCGACCGGAGGGGCAAGCCGGCGCGACCCGACGAGACACAACGTGATGCAACCGTTGCACTTGCACTTCGCGCAGGACTCGCCGCAGGAAGTGACGCAAATTCAAACCGCGCGTCCGGCTCCTGAGGAAACCGAACTCTCGAACGCCCGGATGCCGTTTCCGACGACTGGCATTTGGCGCGCGACTCGCGCGAACTGCGATCACATAACTCGCACTTTGCGCTCACCGCGAGGAGTGACGTGAAATTCGCCACACTCTCGAGAGAGAGAAAGAGAAAGAGACCCTCCCGAGCGCGCCAGGATGCGGCCAAGCGTGTATAGCCGACGGGCCGATACGCGATCGGGTAACCTCTCCTTCTCGGAACCGGTTGCGGGAAACCGTCGCTCGGCCCGGCGGTCCTCAGCCCGAGGAAACCTCCTCACCGTCACTCAGAGAAGGGTGACGGGTTGCCGGATCGAGCTTACGCGATTTGAACTTTCGTCGCGACCGGGGGAAGGAAGAGATAGGACGAGGAAATTCAAAACCCCGCGGTTCGCCAAGTGACTGCGCACTCTTTCACTCTCTTTCTCTCTCCCTCTCACACTCACTCTTCCTTACTCGCTCCCCGGGTCGTCCTCGGATCGACCGGACTCGTCGCGATCGAACAAACTCACCCACGTCGAGCATCTCCAGGTCCAGGTTGCCGCTGCGGCTGCGGCTGATGCTGCTGCTGCCGCAGGCGTTGTACCCGGACGGGACTGGCAGCGGCGGCGGGTGCTGGCCGGTGTCCTCCATCGCCCGGGAGGCGCTGCGCTTGAATTGCTCCAGGAAGCTGTCGATCTGGTTCTCGATGCTGGTAGGCGAGCTGGCCATCTTCCCCTTCGGCCGGTACCCCCCCGCCGGGATACCGCGCGCGCGTTCAACCGATCAGGCGGGGGCAGCGATCGCTCCCGGCGACGACGCGCGATCTCGCACGTGCGAGGATCGATCCTTACACCGGGCCGTCCGCGATATCAGCCAGGAGGATGGCGATGAGGAGGAAGAGAAAGAGATAGGAAAATAGAGAGAGAAAGAAAGAAAGAGAGAGAGAGAGAGAGAGAGAGAGACAGAGAGGTAAAGAGAAACAGACGGAGAAAGAGAGAGACAGAGACAGGTAGGCAGAGAAGCGAACCGCGACGGCTACATCGTAGAATCGCCGCGAGCGCGCGTCTACGCACTTGCTGGTCGTCGTCGCCGTCGACGTTTACCAGGGAGGGTTAACGGCGCGAAGGCGGCTGCCCGGCGGCCCCTGACGCACCTCGTCCCGCTTTACGCCGCATGTCTGTTGCCGCGCCGCTCCGCACCGCTCCGCGACGTCTCGTTCCGCCCCCGCGACGCGGCGTTTCGCTCGCCAGCGCGCATCAACGGCCGGCCGGGGGGAACCGCGGAACTGGAACGCCGCAGCGGCGGCGGCGGCGGCGGCCCAGCCTCGCCGGCCGTGCGGTAGATGTCGCGGCCGTGCGCTCGCGAAAGTCGCGCGACTCGAGCGACGGTAGCCCGGCCTGGCAGCGAATTCGATCACCGAGCATTTAGGAGTGTTGCGATTAGGGATGGGCAATACGGTTGGAAATATCGATCTTTCGTGTCGTAAGTGAAAATATCAGTATGTCAAAAATATCATGTGGGATGTGTATGTTGGTGTACTATTAAAGAATGATTGTTCTTCAATGGTATCCCGGAAAAAAGATCATGTATGAGATTTGTCCATGTATGATTATATGTAATCTCATATAGTCACAACGAAAAAATACTGTTGTTTACAAATAATATGTGAATAAAATCGAAGTAAATACTTCTGGCTACTTGTGCTTTTGGCAGCACATGATATCGACATTTAATTGAATCACATAACATCATTTTTTCCGTATAGGTGATGGTATGTGTAACCACATATATGGGCAAAATTCATGTATGATTTTATATAATTATATATAATTATATATAATCATATATAATCATTTTTTCCGGGATAGGTATAAATATCGGAGAAAAATATCGATATAAAATTGTTCGGTATCGAAAGAAAAATGTCGACACCAATATTATATCAGTAATATCACAACATCCCCACGCTACGCCGAATTAGTGCGCGCTAAAGACTCAGGTGCAATAAAAAGAATAAGGAGCAAGGAATTAAATATAGGGAATTATGAATAAGTTCCTTGGAATGAGCGATAAAGTTTTTAAAGTACAATGAAGAAGAAATGAAAGATAAGATATAAGAACGATTTAAAATGAGATCACCATTTTTACTGTTTTTTAATGAGACTCGCCCATACGGAAGAAAACTATAAGAATGCGAAGAAATGCAGAAATTTCAATTGATGACCCTGTAAGTTAATTATCGTTTAGCTTAATCGGAGTTTGATGCAACTAATCGTTCAAAATATTTGTATGCTTTTTTATTTAAATAATAAAATACTTTATGCGATAACAATATTTTTTCAAATTTTCCCCTCTTTTTTAAGTGCTCAGCCATACTCAAGAGAGCGATTTTTTGATTTTTTCAAATAAAAAAATTTATAAAACCTTAATAAACATTTTTATTTGAAATAAACCAAAGAATCGCTCTCGAGTATGATCTGATACTTAAGAAACATCTTATATATGACGTTAGTAACGAACGTCTTAATTAAAGTTGAAAATTTTGTATGTACATGAATTGGAACTTTGTAAATCGGTGCGTCACACATGTGTAATAACGAACGTGTTAAACGATTACGCATGTGTGTCGCTTGTTTACGCAAAATATAGTGACATTTGCATGATGAATGGTGTTCCCCAATTTGCACCTGGGAATGCGAGCGCCTGCTTATCTATGAGCTTTAAAGCGACGTATATTTTCGTTGAGAAAATATATTATTTCTATTTATTCATAAAGTCATTACGATCGCGAAATCGACCAAGATCTTAGACACGGATCTTAGATTTTGAACGATCGAGCTGCAAGTTAACGAGCTGGTAACTTTTATTGTAAAATATAAGTCACTTTTAAAATAAATATCGATCACAATGCTCGCATCTCGTGACTGCACGAGCTGCTAACGCATAATATCGAAGGTAGACGATTACAAAATTGTAACGGGTAACTGAGATAACGACTTATTGCTAATTATATAACTTATCAGGTGGATAGCTATGGTTATATAATTTACTTAAATTCGATAACAAGAAACTGGGACTATTCACATCGCAATCATCATAATTATATTATGGTCGATATTGTTCGTGCGTTTCTTTTTACGAAACCATGAGGAAAGACTGCAACGTAGGTTCAACATAAAACACGCACGATGTCTCCGTGCGTGAAACAATTTCGACGTCTTTATTCGTCTGTGCATCGTAACCAATTACGAAGTATCTAAATTTATTATCTCCGATGCGTTCGTCGAACGTAGATCGCGAGTAAATAAGTACAATAACGGTAGGCTTTATTATGACAACGCTTTACATTGCTTGCAGTTCTCCATTCGCTCGTTGAATTCCTCTATCTGTAACGTCATCTCGAAGAATTTGTAGTTGTCGTGGATATTTCGTGTGGCTGTGCGCAGGATATTCTGTGGGCTTGTCCCAGGTTCTGAAAAATACAAAGATGCATCTCGTCAAAGTTCGGAAAATTACACGGAGGTTCCGGAGTCGAAACGGGATGGAAATTTCAAGGACTACGGCGCATCGAGAGCGCGAAGACTCTAAAAATACGAGGCGCTTAACGTGTTCCCAGCGGGTTATTTCAGGGCAATCTCGAGTTACGTAATTACATGGCATAAATTAAGAAACAAATATGCGTCGTGGATCATATTTATAGATGAGCTTACTTATAGCAAGGTGCGCTGATAAAGCGGTCTTGTCGAGCGAGAGCGCCCAGATTCGAAGATTGTGCACCTTAACGACACCATCTATTTGCATGAAAGTGTTTTCCACGTGAGAATACTCGAAGCCTTTGGGGATTCCTTCCATCAGGACGTTCATCACGTCTTTGATAATGGCCACCGTGGTAAGTATAACTAATATAGAGAACAGGAACGTACATATTGGATCCACTATGCTCCAATCTGGCTGAAATGTGAAATGCAAAGATTTCAGATACCCGCGTTTCGACGGGAAAACGTCTGATCAGTCCAGCAAAGGTTAAAATGTTCCTGAAAGCTGAGCGTCACATGGAAAATAAGAATTAGCTTACACAGTTAAAAACTAGGTCTGCTAACTACATTTTAGTTACATGATACGGACAACTAGTTTTTAGCTGTGGGAGTTAATTCCTTTTTACCGTGTACGATTTTTCGAAATTTTGTCTCCGGTTCGCAGAAAAAATCGATCTATCGTGCGGTCAGGCTATCGAGCTGATGATAAAAATTTCGAGGTACCTTAAAGTAAATGACTAATGCGGCGATGAACACTCCTATACTCTGAATAAAATCGCCTAATACGTGAATGAAGGCCGCACGCACGTTGATGTTGCTCTTTTCATCCTTCAAATCATCGTCGTGTGCGTTTTCCACGTCTTTGTCGCCGTGGCTATGTCCACCGCCGTGACTATGTCCACCGCCGTGACTATGTCCACTGCCGTGACTATGTCCACCACCAACATGTCCACCATGACTATGACCATGTTGATGCAACGACAGGCCCATTCTGCAATGTAAAGATTATTTGCTTCATATATCTCTCGATCGTAATCATTGCGCGTGCTCACTCAGAGATAGAATTGGCCATAGAAGCTAAATTCTAGCAGTCTGTGGCAACTAAAATGTGCCTTCGAAATAGAGACTGCTAATGTCGTTGCAATTATTAACTGTTTGAATTTAGGCGCTGAAAATATTAGCTAGATCGCACAATTGTACTAAGATCACATTCCCGACTAGATTTTTTTTTTTTTAACGGAAACTCTCCTTGAGGTGTTAGTTTATGCTATTTTTGCTTGAAATTTAGCCATTTACTCGACTTAACGCTATATTATATCTTAAATATACACACGTAAAAAGAATAGTTTGGATTCAAGAATAGTAGTTTCTGTAAAAAAAAAAATAATAATAATAAATTTCTAATTGGGAATTCTTTTTCCCTGTATTCATACTAATAATTTCAGTTAATAATGCATCAAATATCGCGACAGGTGCATTTTACATCTAACAGTTAACTTTTAGCTGTGACAGCAAAGCTCGAATTAACAAGATTTAGCTACTATTAAATAATTTCTCTGAGTGTATTTCCAGAAGAAGTACGACACTTTCAATTTGCGCGGGCCCCGCGCGCGTTCGCCTCGCTCACGAGGAAACTTCTCTGGTGTTGATGTAACATGTCACATTCGATATATATCTGTATTTTTAAATCATTATCGTATTAATTGTAAAACTCGATCAATCCTCGCTTCCAGTATGTTGCATTAAAAATGACACGTTTGCGTAACCGGAATTCGGACCGACATTACTCGCGGCCGTCCAACGAGAAAACATTCGCGCGACGATAATTATTCACGTCATAATTCCGATCATTATCGGGACTCGGCGAATGCAAACGCGCACGGCATCGCGGACGGTATTATGCATGAGCCGTCGTGGGTCTAGCTGAGCATTAAATAAGTATTATCGTTAATGGTATCACTAACACTAGATTTACCGCGACACCAACTGCAGACGTGATCAACATCACCGTGGCGTCCAGCTCGAAATCTTTGTGGACGATTCTCTCGATTGCGAGATAAAACAGGATCCCCGTGACCACCCATATCAGCAAAACCGACGTCAACGCGCCGATGACCTGAGACAACGTACAGAAATTATGAGTATTTCTATTATTTCACGAGTTATCGCGTTATCAGTTTCTCAAACGCTCTGTATAAGAGAGCTTCTCCACAAATATTAATTTTCTTTCTGATAACTTACGCAAACACGCGGAAAAAAATTCAGTCATGTATGGACAGCTAGTTTTTACCTGTGGGAGCTATTTCTCTTTTTCCGTGTGCAACTGAACTGAAAGACCGGATGAAAACTCGGTGACAAAAAAATGAAAACTCGGTGACAAGAGATCTCACCCAGTAAACGCCAACAGTAATATTGTATTCATGTTATCATTTCTCATTCAACAATATAAGCGTAATATAACATGCGTTGTATATAAAAGTTACAATGTTGAATGAGAAATGTATAATATTGTTGTTATGTCGCTGTAAGTATTTACTGAGCTGCTATTATGACTGAGAACACTCGTGTGAACATTCAGCTGCCTTAAAGCTCGCTTGAGACAACTGAGAGCAATTTACCGAACGGAAATCACTTACAGGCATTTTTCTATTCCTACAACCAAGTTTTCGTCTAATCCCCAGGCAGTGGAAAATTCAGTTGTATCAACGGAATTGTTTTTTCCGTGCATCATGACATTCGTTATTGTTAGCGTACAATTAAACTCACTCAATCAAATAATTTAAGAAAAATTCCACTAAAATCATAGTCATTTTCGGCTTCAACTATATATTCTTCTGCTTTTAACTCAAAAAAGTAGCAATATAAGCATGTAAGTATAGGCCTGTTCTTTTTTGCTGAATTGGCTGTATTAGTTTGTACTAGTTCTTTTCTCCTCTTTCTTCCACAAAGTCTTAACTGTATATCTGTTTCTTTTTAAATTCCAAGTGTATAAATGTGTATTTCAACGAAAAAGAACAGATCTATCGTTATCACTGACACTATAACAACACTTACTGGAAAAATGGTTCTCCTGGCTAAAATTCCTTCACTTAAACGAACACAGTTACAAATGTCAAACATTTTTTTCTCAGTGTACAAGTTTAATTAATTTACTCAACATATGTATTAATAATTGAAAACGAAGAATGCTTACTTCAGCGCGATACCAGCCGAAAGGCATTTTTCTGGTGGCCGGTCTGTTCGCGACCCAAATGGAAAAGAGGGATATCATGAACGACGCGAAGTCTGTCAACAGATGGGCAGCATCGGTCGCTATCGCCAAACTATTCGATAATACTCCACCTAAAGAGCAGAAAAGAAGAAGAGAAAAAAATGAATGCGCGGATACGCACGATTACTGCCTCCGTAAATAGTCTCTACGCAAAGTGTTATTTTGTGCCGATAAGCTCATCAGGAATTTTGTTGTATTACCGACGATTTCTGCTATCATGAAAACGACGCAGAGCGCACTGGCGAGCAGCAGTTTCTTTCGGGCTTTCTTGTCGATCTCCTCATTCCTCTCTCTGTGACAATGGTCCTCCGGTGGTACTGAAGATCATAACAATATCAATTAGTTATGATAAAACAATGCATATCGAATAATATTTATTTAAAGAAATATCGTAACTGCTCGATTGACACAGTCTGTCTAATAAGAGAACGTAACCAGCGAAACGTTTTTCCGAATACACGTCAGGGATTAAAACCGATATCAAGAATATTGTTTTCATACCGATATTTTTTAGTATTACCTAACAATCGAAAAAAAACCGGTTTGTATAGATAACGGTATTGTGAACATTTCAGTATAACAGCATTGGTTCGATAAATTTTATATAATACCATCATTTACGGTACGATATCAGTATATATCGATATTATACTGGTATTATTGCCAGGTATTATTGGTATTATTACCAGGATCCGAATTTATGCACGTTATCTCCTCTCTACGCTCTTTTGTCAAATATGTATTATGATTTGATAATACTTACAATTGATAACTTACAATTAATAACGTGATAATGTTAGTATCAGTATGATACCGATATCACATTGAAATACATAATACTATTATTATTCTAGTATTATGCAAAATTTCGATATAATAACGGGATTGGATGTTTAACGCCGGTATTGTATCAAAATTTTTGTAATACGGATATTTTAAAATACCAATATATGCAATACCGTTGTAATATTACCAATATATGCATTACCGTTATAATATAATTAGCGAAATGATTCATAATTTCAGTATTCAGTTTCTACGTTAGACAGACCATTTCCTCACGACGCGTTGTAAACAAAATTTCAATTGTGTTTACCTTTCATGCGAGACGGATGTTTTCGATATAATGAATACCGCATATATATATATATATATATATATGGTATTCATTATATCGAAATATATATATATATATATGTATTTTCACTTGTTACAACAAATCGTTTTGAACATATGTTAATCGCGTTCTTAAACTGACTGAATAAAAACCAGAGTACAGGACAGAGAAGAAATCCCCGAATCTGAATTTCTCCTTTCATTTTAGGCGCCAAAATGTTTTCAATTCCAAATTTTACCTGTGCCACTTTTTCGGAACTGAAAACACTTTTTTCACGAATATCTCTCGTCATTATTCGGATATCTTTTTAATATCCTCAGATTTTAAACGACATCAAGAAGATCTATCGGACGAATCATACCTGGATTCTGTTGATACTCTGCGGTAGATGTCTCGTCGGTAGAGCTCTTCACCACCGTGCAGCAGCCCGACAATTTTCCATGGACGCAGAAGATCACCTTCCGTGACGACACGTCGTTTCCATTGTCATTTTCGTCCTCGACAATGCTCAGCGGAGGGATACTCGTCCCGTAGCCGTAACTCACCTTATCGGCGAATCTGCAAACCGTCACAAATCCGCTTTTATTCCTCGCGATCGCACGTTCTCGGTGTGACGGCGTAAAACGGACGGCTTTTTACGGCTAGGAGTGCCTCGGCTCGATCGTAATTCGTCGCTACAGCCTGCGAGACGAGATTCTCGACTGCGATCTCGCAGCTTATCATTTCGGATCGTCGTTACTCTTCGCGATTGACGCGATGAAGCGCATCAACCGCTTTCCACTTTCGTTGCGCAACGGAGGAAAGCGATTGCGCGAGATAATTGCATGCGGGTTACCGCCGATGATTCGGAAATAATAGAAAGAAAAAGTGTAGCGTAACAGCTCCATCGAGTCATTCTACCTGTTCGGCGGAGCGCTCGCTTTCCCGCAAGCGAGAGAGTGATGCTTCTCTCGCTTCGCTGGAAAGTTGCTCGATTGATTAATTTCGATGACTGTTTGTTTATCGATGATATAATTATCGGTATCGAATATAAGACGTCAATCCGTCGAGTTATCGCTTATATAGAGATTACTTTTGTTCTTCGCCCATTTCAGATAAGATCCGTAGATAGAATCGAGCGCATATATCAGGCCCGATAAGAAAATTATGACATATCGGTACGCGCGTTGCCTGATTTATCGGATTACCGGGCTCCGTTTGTTACACGATGTACGAACAAATCAATAAGAATCAATCAAACCCATCCTTTGGCCGCGTTTATTTCCGTCCTAATCAGGATCTAAACGGCTCCTCCACTGAGAGGAAAAGAAATTAATGATACTAAAATTATGATTATTCTCGGCGTCACAACAATATTTACTTGTTGTTCTAATAGAAAAATAGTAGTGGCAATAAACGTACAAGATTATTATCAATAATATTGTAATAATACTCCCTAAATATTTTGGAGTGGAATCTCTTCAGTTTTGAGTGAAGATATTTATTCTTTTTAACTGGACTGGCTGCACTAGTTTAAGAGATTTAGAGAGTACTACAATAACGATTCTCTTGATTCCCTATAATTTTTTTCACTGTGTGCGCGTGATTACAGATACAAATCTACGAAACACATTTCTCTCAGTGTCGATTTCTACCGGATTATCCCAGACATCGTTCATTCGTAAAGCGTGATCGCAACTTTTGCGCGCATTGAAACTTCAGCTTGAAAGAGAAAAGAGGAAACATGGAGCAACAGGAAGAAGCGTCGATGTTTACATCGTTATTGCGAGGGAAACGAATGCTTTTTGCGCGTTTTGACGCGTCATTTTCGCCGCATCCTAATTACACAGCTAATTCCGCCTCGGCGTATGCCTGGCGCGCACAAGGCTCGGCATGCAGAATAAGTATTTGTACGACGTCGCGCTTGAACACGGCATTAACGCGACATTATGCGCGAGTACGTGACTAGCGCTTATCACCTTCCACGAGACGCCATTATCTATCAACCAGATATCAACGATGCCGTGTGCACAAGCGCGGTATCCGCCGCACGTTCTTCTGCGTCCCCCGTCGCTGGACGTGATTCAATGACAGTGTCAATGATGCCGTGTGCAAAATCGAACGCGATCGAATGGTGTCGCCCGAGACGATAAATCGACGATTTATGGTGCGACGCCGTGTGTGCCATAAATCGTTGCTACGATGCCTTCTCATGGATCATGCATCGATATGTTGCATTGAGCGTGGTAATTAGTTACTGTCACATTTCGTCATTAGCTCTCTAAATATCTACGAGTGGAATCTCATTTAAAACAAATGAAAAGTGGTAGTATTTTTATTCAAAGCAATAGTAAAAATATCGTCGCAAAAGTACAAAATATGGTACACTTATCGAAAGTAGCGTGACCAAATTGGTATTTATTATAACAAAATAAGCAGTTGAGCGATCAATTTTTTTTTTTTTACGTAAAAGCTATTTTTGCATAAAATATCTCGACTAAATTAGTGAACTATTTCGACTTAATCAGTTTTATATAAGCTTCTATGTAAAAAAAGAAGTTTTCTTTCTTTTTTCTGTTTTTCTTGTATACAATTCATTCTACATATTGGAATCAAGTTTGTATAATTTCCATCGTTTTTAAATTTGCACACCAATGGGGACTTCTCCCGTTTATCGAGTGAATAAATATATAAATAAATAAAAAGTAGTAGTCCATCGGCCTTTAAATTTACGTCTTTACCAAGAATGAGATGCGAGGACTGCATTTAAATGATGGTATATATCAAGAGGATCACTGATGATAATACGCCATAGCGAACTTCCCTTCACGCGCGATAGTCGCACTCTCGGTCTCATTTATCTATCTTTCCTCATCCTACGCTCGTCGCTCAATAGGGAAATGATATGAAAACTTCGCGGAAGTTCGCTCCGTCGACCAATTATTATGTATCCTTTTTTTTAAATAAAGTCATTCTCCTTCGACGAAACGCGTTATCGGCTTTGAGAAATGCTCAGTGAGCAAGCGCAAATGTCGAAATTTCCACGAAAATGAAGTCGGAAATCGGAACGAACTCGAAATTCGCTGGCTACATCCCTCAAACCTACGATTAACTCTCTAATGGTAAAGTGGGAGCAAATTGACCCCACGGCTTTGTTTATTTTACAACATTGTTCTTTTCTTAGGGAATGTTTCATGTTATTATTTCTTTCTTTTATCCGTCTTATACATTAATTACACGAAAATGAACAAGATAGAGCATGGGGTCGGATCCGACCCCACCTTCTTCTTGGGTATGTTGAAAATTCACCTTGCCATTAGAGAGTTAGAAAATAAAAATTTCTGAATTTCCTCGGTCAACACGCTTTCACACAAGATTCACCGGCTCTTCGATTATTCGCGATTATTCTGTCTAGGAAATGATTCTCCCGTGGATTGTTTAATTATCCACTGAAATCGGGTACTTAAAAAACTTGTTCCCGAAAACATGGAGCGCGGAGCAGTCGAACGATCCGGCCAGATCATGTACGCGAACTCCCGGAATAATCAGATGCACCGGCGGATTAAGCCAACGACGGCTGATTCGTCACATCGTCGTCATGCGTGTAACGTTACCCGACACCACGTCGCTTTCGTATTAATTATACCGCGATAATACGAGAACAACAGTCTCGCCTCAATCATCGACAGAAAGTCGCATTCATGGGCGTCGATGAAGCGTTTCTGTTCGGGGAAGCACGCGGCTGATGACGGAAAATCTCGAAGCCGTCGCCGGATCTCTGATCCGTCAATGATGATAATAAGAATAATTTGTTAATTCATTAATTCGGAAAAACTGTGACACCGATTCTGACACCGTTCCACTCATCATGGAGTTCGTGGAAAATCCAAGAACACAGAAACAAACAACGATGAACTCGATATGAATGGTTTTTATCTGAAAATCCAGATAATTACTCGTATCGAGATTATCGCTGTTTATTCCCCGACTTGTTGGATTGAAAAACAGAGAATCGCAGGAAATGAACGGGAATGACGAGACGTCAATCCCGGGATGTTTCCGCCACTCGAGGAGGCGGTATCTGTTTGGGCAAATTCAGATTAGGTCTCTGCTATGTTTTCGTGATTACCTCGAGAGGCACGAGAGTGCGACGCTCGGTGCGCTATTGTGACGCCTATGGTTGCTTCAGGATCAGTTGATCGCACGTGCGCCCTTCCTTCCCCGCGATAAAGCGTAATCGTTACACCGGCTATAAAAATACCCACTTCGCGAACGTTGCGCTTGACACCCGCGAGTTAGAGCACGTGTTGATCCCACCAGACGATGTTACGCAACGCCGGGTGGTCGATGCAAACTTTTCAATCGTAGCTGTTAAATGATTTAACTTTGGAATCATCACTTTTCTGAGTCAACAAGTGTTTGATGTTTCATGAGAGAGAGACACGTACTCTAGTAGAAATTAAATATCGTGGGTGTCTAGCTGCGAAATAACATTTTGCGTCTAACAGCCCGATTAATCAGTAATATAAGGTTCATGTAAGGTCTTGTAGTGGCTAGATAATGGCTAGATGTGTATGAGTTAGCTGATGAGTAGACAAACGAAATTACCATTACGAGACGGAAAGTTATAACTAGTTGTCAGATGATGTAACGCTTCTGCTTTTTTTCTGGAAAGATTCCTCTGAGATTTTTATAGAATAACATGCTCTCAATTTTGATTTGCTATCTCATTTAAAATCCTAGTGGCAGGTATATAATAGCTAAATTATATATCTTTTAGAATCCTTTAAGTGTGTAACCATCTTCGATTTCTTACTGTGTGATTGGCCTAGTTCCTTATTTGATCAAAAATGACGAAACTGAGGATGACGAAGGATTGTCAGATAAACTCTATTTGTACATGTTATTCTAAGATGGGAGATAAATGAGAGATAAAAAATTTATTTTTAAGAAATTAAGAAATCTCAATTTTTATAAATAGCATTGTACATAATCAAATAAACGACATGTGTATCTTCAGAAAAATGTGCTTGAACTCTTAATATAAACACTTTTCATTGATAAAGGCATTCTAGATAAACCAGACGCCACTTTTACAAAAAAAAAAAAACGGAAATGTTAGACTCTTACTTGAGGGACTCAATATTTTCGAACAGACAACGCTATCTATTCTATCACATTTGATTTGTAGTGGCTAGATAACAGCTAGATTACAAAATCGATTCTATATTTTAGTACGAGTTAAAAAATTTAATCTAGCCTTTATTAAGTAAATACTTGTTTCTGACTCGGGTCGGCTAGATAAATTTCTACTCAGGTAGAGAGCTTCGTCCTCCACGGCGAGTAAAACTCCCTTCTTTCCCTTCACATTCTTATGTTTAGCGCGTGCAAAGCGTCTAAAGTCTATTCTTATTCCACTCCAACCGATATGCAACCGAAAAGGGGTATCTGTACTAGAAAGTGTTTCAAGGCTTCAGCTGGAAAGCTCGTGGGTCCGAATTACTCGTTCGGGTCGTCGAAACCAGTCCCGTTATGCATTATGACATTTCCGACCGAATACGCGGGAAACACTCTGCGTCGAATGAAAAAAAGGAAAAAGAATCACGAATCACGCGAATCACGTGCAGCTATTATCATCTATCCACGGATAGTTTCTCGTAACGGAGGCTTACGCGAAGATGCAAATGACGTTTTATCAAAGTCCGGCGATATCGATTGTAAATAACGCGGGGAAGACCAAGACGAGTGAAGAGTGAAGGAATCGTTTCGACAAAAGACGAAGTGCAAGCGGACTCGCGGAAATTCGCCCGTCGGAATTCAATCCCGATTCAATTACGAGCGACATCTTTCCGAAATACTTGACAGGCAAGATTTTCGCTTTAGAGCATATTTTCGGAAACACGCGAGCGAGGTCTTGTGTGTGCGCGAAGAATTCGCGCATGTCGCGGATTCGGTTCTCGTTAAATCAACACGAAAAATGCATGCCGTTGCACCGATACAGTGAGAATAAAAATCGCGGTATTTTTTACTATAATCGTATAAGTGAAAAAAAATTATAGTCAGGAGATCCATTTTTCCAGTAAGTGTTATTACATGTCGGTGGTAATAATCTTACACGCATATTCCCAGTGAGCTTCAAGCAACAATAATATTACATCAATGTTATGATTTCCTACTGAGTAATGTAAGTGTAATGTAATATCTGTTGCGCATAACAATTATATTGTTAAGTGGGAGATCACAACATTGATGTAATGTTATTGTTGCTTGATGTTTGCTGAGTAATTATTTTTTGGGGCTAAAACCAGAAGAAAATATAGAGATTCAGATTGAAAATGATTATAATCTTAGTGGGATTTCTCGCAGGGTGGAATCGGTCAACATAGACCTAAGTGGAGTGAGTTTGTTTAATATAAAAAAAATTTAATGTCAAATATCATTCTGTTTGAATAAAAATATTACCGTTAGAGTAAACCGTATTGTTTGTTGATAGAAAGACGTTTGAGAAACCAGACAATTCTATTTGCTAAATCAAACATTGGTTTGTTAGCTCTGTTCCAAAAGACAAATTTGTTTCAATTAAATCAATCTTATCAAACCCAAAGAAACCGTTTTCTTTGTATACATGACGCCGACTGTACAAAAGCTGTCCCATTTCCTAAAAATAGTAACATTGAAAACTTCCAATTAGGCACGTTATTTTCGAGGCACGGTATTTTCGAATAATACTTGCCATAACACTAGCATGTCCAGTTAGCATCATTATTGCTGCCTTGAAGTATAATTACCGATTCACCAAATCGGCAACAGTCATGACAGACGAGTATTCGCACATAATAGCCCTGATTAGACATTTTCGATTACGCCTGAGGAAGGCGACAGCATTAATGAAGTTTTCTGTACAGCAGCGTTTCCCGTGGACGGACAATGTCGGAGAAATCTGGTCCGCAACCAGATTTTTTTCTCTCTCCTAACGCGGCACGCACTTGTCACGATCAGTGCACACGCCGGCCGCGGACAGGCTCGGCGGAAAGACAGGCGTGTTTTTTGCCGTGCCCCGAGACCGGTGTAGCACGCGTCCTCGCGTCCGCACGTCGGAGATCCTGTCGCGTGGCAAAGTGAAGGGGATCGCGCGGCCTCGTTGTTTGCGGCTGCGTGTGCGTGTCGTGCGAATGCTAATTGCCCGTACGGTAATTTCGGCAATCAGCGAGCCGGCCGCGACGATTCTCTCCCGGAGATCAGCCCCAGGGAGAAAGAGAAATTCGAGGGAGAGAGAGAGAGAGAGCTTTCTCGCGCGCACGTGTCGTCGGCGAACGCGTGTACGCGCTCGACGTCAACAGGTGGTCAAGCGGTCTTCGGCGACCGAGAGGTGCTGCTCGTACCTCTGCGATTTTTTCACGTTATCGCGCAAACATGGTAAAAGGAATTCGACGTCAGTCTGCGATAGCGATAGCGGTATCTTCATTTTTGTATTCCCGCGTGCGGGACTTAAGATCGAGCGATTCAACGAAGACCTCGCCCGCGCGACCTTGGGGAAAAAATAACAGAAATTCAACTCGAAAAGAACTTCGGATATCGGGAGCGATAAATGACTCAATATTTTTCCGAGAAAACTTACATTTCGAGTAATAGATAAGGGAACGAAATATTTTCATACCCATGAGTCATCTTGCATGATGAGTTATCTCGGAAGACTTCACTCATTCATGATCGTCTGCTATTTTTTTCTTAAAACGTCTTAAGACAGTCTGTAGAATGGTAAAAACCTATTTCGGCGATATTATACTTGTTAACTTTCCTCTTCAGCCTTAATTCTACACAAAGAAAAATTGGTTGAATTAACGTGACGATGAACGAACCAAACACGTTTTGTTTGGAGGAAACGAGATTTCCGGGGGGAAAAACCGGTTCTTGAGACCGAATTTGATTCATAAGAAGCAGAAATATTGTTTCCTTTAACCAAAACGCATTTGGTTCGTTCATTGTTACGTTAATTCAATCAATCTTTTTCCCATGTAAAGATTTAATCTTAATGTTACCTTGAAGTTAGAAATACTCTTGACACTCCAATTATTAAATTCACATAAGTGTTCGAAACAACCTACTTTGACGCTGAAAACAGCGGAAACGGAAATCCAGACATCATCATGGTCAAAGTAGGAATAAATTACGTCATTATATGGAGAAGAGAAAGATTGGTTGAATTAACGTGACGAGACGGACGAACCAAGCGCGTTTTGTCGAAAGGAAACGAAATTTCCACTTCTTGATACCGGATTTGATTCATAAGAAGTAGAAGTACTGTTCTTTGACCAAAACACATTTGGTTCGTTTATCGCCACGTACATTCGTCACGTACTATCTTTTTTCTCCCTATAGAATGGAACTTGCTTTATCTTACCCCCCACTGTATTATAGATTTAAAGATCCAACATGGATCCCCCCTTCCAAATTTAGACCTCCAACCTCCCTCGCTTTATTGTTATCTCCCATGAATTCCATTAGCCACCGAGCATTATTTTTTTTAATTCTCGGCCGTCGATATAATTCACGGGGGAGACGGGGGAGAACATCCACGCGCATCACGAGATACAGCACGTACTCCGAACGGCGTCGTTACCCCGAGGAACACGCGCGAGACCGCGAGAGACTCCGAGGAAGAAGAGAACACTCCCCGACCGATTTCACCAGGTTTCACCACAATCACCATTTCAATCTGCACGTCAAAATTTGCGGATTAGTTACACGCAGATTTCTACGCGCGAACACCGTCGTTCTTCTACCGATCGCACAAGGACTCGCGCTCGCGGGTTCTCTTCCAGCCGCACGTCAAAATTGCCACAAGTAACTCGGAGGAAGCATCCTCGAAGTAAGGATAATCGGGACACACTCTCTGGGATTAACTCGCTCTCGCCTCTGCCGGAAACTCCGCGATCTCGCGAGACTCCTGAACAGTCGCGATTTCCCCGCCTTTTTACGTTGTCGCGTCGTCTCTGTCGCACTCGGCAAGGATAACAGCGATGATGGTGATAATGATGATGATAATGATGATAATGATGATTCGAGAGAACTCACAGTTTGATCTTTTCTTCCATGGTCCTTGAGTGGCAAGACGCACAGTCGATCGGCCGTCGATCGCGACGCCGTCAGTCTTCTCCTCTCTCTCTCTCTCTCTTTCTGGATCGATGATCCTTCCTCCGTTTGTCGAATCGCTCACGAATGCCAAGTGCCGGCAAAAAGGAAGATTAAAGAGGCTGCGAGCGCCCCTCCGGCGAGGCAAGGGCGCGGGTGGAGAAAGAGAGCGAGAGAGAGAGAGAGAGAGAAAGATAGGGAGAGAGTGAGGGAGAGAAATACCGAGGAGGCGGTGCAGTCGTAATCAACGAAGTCGTAACGTCGCGCTGTCGTCCCCGGACAACCGGAGAGACTTGGCCGGACTGCACACGTCGCTCCTCGAGTCAACAAACAAAAGCTGCTGCTGCTGCTGGTAATCGCGTCACGGAATGTCCGTCTTTCGGCGGAAGAGGGACCATGCTCTTTGTCTCTTCTGATTCTCTCTCTCTCTCTCTCTCTCTTTTCTCCTCAGTTCGGCACAATCGCTGAACAGATAAACGGTTTAACACTCGATCAACAGCCTCTCGCTCTCTCTCCTCCTCTTTCTCCTTTCTGTCCACGTCTTCTCTTCTTTTTCTTTCCCGATCCTCTGCCTTCCCACTCGATCGCTCTGTCTTTATTGCACGAGCCCCCACCAGCCGATGCGTCACCCTCGCTCTCTTTCTACCCGCTCTCCTTGTCTCTTTCTATATCTCCGCTCGGAGAAGATATCAGGAGATACACAGACCGCCGGACCTCGTTCGACTCGAGTCTTGTTCGTTCCTCGGAATTCTAGATGTAGTTTCGGATGTTTTCCCCCTTCTTTGAGACAGAAAGAGAGAGAGAGAGAGAGAGAGAGAGAAAGGAAGAAAGAGACTTTCAAAAGGAGTGTTAGACGAGGTATGATCCGTTTGACGCTTTGCGCGCTTCTCAGCGTTTCTCCTCATGCACAGAATTTTACGCCTTCATTATGCAAGTTAGCATGTTCTTCGATGTCTGATGGAACCTTGATCGAACGAACAGTGTCTAGGATGCAAAATATCCTCTCGTGTGTCACGCTCCGGTGAGTCTTCGCTGATCTTCAGTACCTCGCGACTGTGAGAAAGCTCAAAGTGGAACGCACTGCGTATCTCTCTCCCTCTCTCTCTCTCTCTCTCTTTCTCAGCGCACTCGAGAATGTGTGAGCCGTCGCTCAACGGCTCTGTGTGTTCAGCATTTGAATATCAATGAGCACTTTCACGACGGATCCGTCCCGGGAACGGATTCAACTATCGCGCGAATTACACCGTGTGTTCGTCGACGGGCGTACAGTCAGCGATTCGTCGCTTATCTTTTTCTCTCTCTTTCTTGCCTCGACGTCTTCGGCAATAATCGTAGCGCGGCCTTCGATACTCGTCCTTATCACTCTCGCTCGCGAGTTTCCGTAGGAGAGAGAGAGAGAGACACGTACACTCGGAGCTCCGCTTCGAGACGTTCGATCTCGTGAGATCGATGATCGATCGTTCGGCGTTTTCCGCGCGAAACTGCGGTCTCCCGGGGACAAGATTAGCCGAGATCGCGCTAGCACGGACCACGTGCCCCTCTACGAGCACTCGCACCGATGCCTCACGAACGTCGTCGCGGATTCTGAAGCCCGAAAAGTCGCTGGATCTCGCGGGACCAGCCGGTGGAAATTCACGAGCGGCCGATTGCCGTCGCGATTCGTGACTGAGCGAACGGCGAACGTGAAGCGAGAGGCACGTTCGCGTGACTTTCACGGAGAGAGGCACTGCTGTTGGTTAAACATCCGTACCGTAACATGTAACAGCGGCGGCGGTGTTTGTAATAAGATTTTTTGTTTATAACAGAGTATAGAAAATTGTGAAACTTTTAAGCCGGTATAATCGGATCTTATGTTTAAGACCGTTTGAAGTTCATCTTCAGATGCTTCGTAGCCAATGAAATAAGTCGTACAGTATCTCAAGATGAACTTAAGACGATTTTATATGGCTGCGGCCCGATTCACTCTTACAGCGCTGAAAATATCATTCTATCTTGCTTTGACATGTAATGAACAATAAAGATAGAACGCTTACAGCGCTATAAGCGTGAATTAGACCACAACCTATATAAAATTCGATTATGAATACTGGTCTTAAAATAAAATATTAATTTTGAATTTATCAGTGACAGCACAAAAGGCAATTTTTCCAACGTACTACAGTTACAGGTTACTTTGATTCAAAATCAAGTTATTGACGGTTATAAAATATGATATAATTGTCTTTCAACATACAAAGTTTTTTACATGTTAAGGCTTCTGGGTAGTCGCTGCAACTGTCCTTGTTGAATGACGTCAGAAGCAAGAAAACGCATGTCAATAATTCTTGCGTTATACGTTCAAATAAAAAAGATATACTCATATCTAATCATACATAATTATATGATTAGTATTAAATAATTATGTATGTACAAACTTCATACATAATTTAGTATAATTGTGCATAGTGCATCACGTATATTTATACGTGATTATGTATGAAATACTTTTTAACGGGCATGTATTTGCAAGAAGCAGTTTTATCCCCCTACTATGATCCTTTCTAACTTTAAATTTTTCTACATCTTGAAAGTCTTCAGCTTAGCTTACGTTATTGGAGATAGCAAGTAATAGCGTAAATTGATGACGTTTTCGCTATGCAATTATGACGTCACGGTTTCACCGCAGCGCTAAAAAGCGTCAAAACGAACAGACGAAGCGATATTTGTGAACGCTAATAGCGATTAACGAAAAAATGCTATTAGCTATTAGCCATTGGTGAAAAAATGCCGAAGACAAACGCATTTATAAGACTGTACGTTGGATCAACGCGCAGTATTAACTTAGCACTGGTGGTGTACGGGAAAATTTCAAAACTGACGGCGACAAAATTGCCGAGGTCAAATTTTACAGCGGCGGGAACTCGTGACGGAGTCAAGGTCTACTGCTGGTGAGCCGATGTATCATGAGCACGACGACGGCGGGGGTCGCCGATCGCTCGAACGGAATCACGGAATAACAGCGGAATAATCGCGGAATAAGTTTCGATAGTTATCGAATCGAGATCGGCCATTAATTCGCGCTCGAATTGCTCGAGAGGCAAGTTTGAAAAGTGCGACGGAATCCCACCTGAGATTCGGTGCGTCGTGCGACGGGATTGAGCTTACTCGGGAAGGTTCGAACTTGCGAAATTCGTAAAGATTCGAATTCAAAATTGCGTGCACAAATGCATACGTAAAGTGAACGTACAACAGCGAACGAAAAAAACGTTTCGAAAAACGACGGACTTTCGTCCTTCGACGAATTTCGCGTAACGTGATATCGGATAAACGTTTCCGATAACCGTAAAATTTACGTGGATAAGGAATACATGTTTCCAATGATGATAATGACATAAAATTACATAGACAGGGAATAAATATTTCCGATAAAGAATAGCTAACAGCTACACGGATAAGAAGTAAACGAGAAATTTGTATATGTGGAAATTAAAGAGTTGAATATTATACGTTTAAAGCGTCATTGAAGTATTATTAATGAATGTGTTTATCTTATGAAAGAAAAGAAGTTAGTATGCAAACAAACAAATGGAAGATCAGTTCCAACAAACAAAATGTTACCTTTGTCCTTAATTTGTCCTACACGTTTAAATGTTTTCTCATTTTACTTCACACGTGTAATATTACTTTAATATTAATATTACTTTAACCCTTTGCACTCGAGGGCACCGCTATGGAGACAATACAAATAACTTTTGGTTCATAACATAAGGACAAAGACAAATCGTAAAAACTATTGTGTATAGGATATTCCGCTCTTGCTATTTGCATTGTCTCCATAGCGGAGCCCTCGAGTTTGAAGACAAATTTTAAATGGCTCCACTCCGAAGCCCTCGAGTGCAAAGGGTTAAAGTAATATTGATATTAAAGTAATATTACACGTGTGAAGTAAAATGAGAAAACATTTAAACGTGTAGGACAAATTAAGAACAAAGGTAACATTTTGTTTGTTGGAGCTGATCTTCCATTTGTTTGTTTGCATACTAACTTCTTTTCTTTCATAAGATAAACACATTCATTGGTTACATCAAGAGATGGATAAAATTTAACTATATGACTATATACACTATATAATATATACACCAATAACAATACTTTCGGAACAAAAATAACAGACTGTTACTTTCATTTCGACTTAAATATTTGCCAGAATTGGTGAAATATTCATTTTTATATAAAAAAAATTAACTTTCAAATATTTTCATGTACCAAACTACTCAAAGGAATAGTTATAGGATTGACTTATAATAAACAGTAAATAACGGGATAAACTAAATTTCGAATAAAATATTCAGAAACTAAGAAAACACAAAATACTTACTTTGGCTATATTTTTATATTGTCGACGCGATAAACGCACAATCTTTTATCACTGTACTTTAACGCTGAGATGGGAGAAACGTTCCAAAAATGTTATATAACAGCGGACAGATTCGTACAGGAATGATAAGATTTTAATAATCGCGTTTGTTACATTTATCTCATGTTACTTTTATCCCCGATCTCCCCTATTTAACATATACATAATATTGTGATTACGCGTGCTTTTGAAAACGTGTATCTATGTACTAACTTTGAATCGGTTTATACGAAAGAAGGGAAATATTAATCTCGTTGCTCTTTTTTACTATGGAAGCTTCAACATAATAGAAAAACCACCTTACATGTGTACATTATTGCAACGGCATATTTGGCGCCGGTAAACATTCGTGTAATTCTAAATTTTACACTTTACTCAATGAAGAAACGGACGTTATCATTGTTCAATGTGAACGTGATGTATTTCTTTCTCTCTAAATTTCTCGGAGTAAAATTTCACTCAAAGAGTAGAAAGAAAGACGAGTGACTGATTCGACTGATTTTTTACCCGTACAGAGTGAATCCTCCACTTTGAATCATCGAATGGATTTTTTTATTCGAGACTGAAAAGCGGATCTAACGTATTCCCCATCATCATGGAATCAAATATGTTCTGATTGATTGAAAAACATTCACTCGTATATGGAATCAAAATCCGTTCCAAACTCGAATGAAACAATGCACTCTTACGATTTCGAGTTGCAGTATTTTCTCTATCGCTTCGAGTGAAAATATTGCCAGTGTTTTACATGTTTTGAATATATTTCCATTCCAAGATATTTAAATAGCAGACGACGGTGTCTAACATTAAGTGAACATGACATGAAATACATTTAAAATTGTTACACATTATGCATGCTTTTCAAGTACTGACGATTATCGCGCATACATATACGCGAACGTGTATGCGATGCATACGTGACAAGCGAAATGCCGGAAAAATCAATACGCGAATAAAGCTAAACTCACGGGACACTTATAAATTATCTTTAACAAACTGGGTCTCTCTCGTTATCGGTAACATAGACATGATGCAGTTGGAAAAATCAACACAACGCGATGCGGAAGTTTTCTACGTATGGAATTATTACTTGCGTCATTCCTCATAATACAATTTACAAACGTTGTTATATTTATCATCATATCGCGAGAAATTTGCATCGACATTTTACCGTGGTTGAAAAACATACTCAGAAATACAAATACTCAGAAATAAATTAAGTTCATTATTCATGGAAATATAAATCCTTTGCTTTTTCTTCTTTTCTTTAGTATTTTTGTCACTTTATGTACTTTTGTTCTACTATTTTCTTTTATGTAAAAAATGGAATTTTTCCCGTTCATGTTATAAATGAATAAATAAATAAATAAATAAATAAACACGTTTGAGATCCGCACTCAAACAACATATAATATTTACAAAATACTTAATATCTATATTTAAAGAATATTTTATAAATAATCCAGGCGTTTCGCTACTTGATAAGTCACGAAGGCAACAATTTACGAAATGCGACATGCACATTGATTAATAAACAAAATTTTCCGTAGAATCAATGGAGCAAATTAAATCGAATCGACATTAACGATATCGTAGGAAAAAAATTCGAATGCGTAAACTACGCAACGCGAGGCATTAACTACTATATTATCACTTTAGAGATATCGTTGAAAAATAAAGATATTTTATTAACAACTAGATAAAGATAAAAAAGGTATGCATTTATCAAAAGTCTATCGAACCCAGGTAGCACATGCTGGTTTCATATACGGTTTTCAACATATGTAATGTTTCACAATCGTATTACATATATTTAAAAAGGAACATATATGAAATTAACTGTGCTACTTCTGGGAAGCGATGACCATTGGTGTCACGACGCATAAAATTTCTGCTAAGTAAATTTTTCTCCCACTCTCATATTTCGAAAATATTTAAGGCAAATTATCAACAATTATCGTCTCATCCTGTACAAAAGGAACTGGATCGATCAGATATTTACTCGTCAATGATGATCCCGAGGTCCGCTTCTGTAGTGGTCGACATTCCGACGATAAAGCGTGCACTACCGGCTCCTTCCGTCGTGACCAAGTTTTGTTACTTTTTTGCGACTTTTTGCAGTGGAACAGAGAGTAGGGTCTCGTGTGATACAATTGGATATCCGGGCCGAATTTTTTCGCATTTATGCAGATACGTAATTATACGCTGTATAAAAACGGGAATCCGAGTGTCAACCTATGGCTGAACTTGGAGAGAAAAAGAACTCTGTCCTAACGATTAACCAGTGACCTCCGTTCGTTCCTCGAAAAGTAATCGCGCTAATAGTGTCTTGGAACTCGTAATAAATTGCATATAACTTGCATAAAAATCAGCACCGGTGTCCCTGATGTGAGCGATTCAGAGTGCATTTCAGGATTTTTATAACTTTTTCCCTTCTCCGCGCTTTCAAAGCTCGATCTCGAGATAAATCGCGTTATGGAGCGACGCTTGATTAATTGAAGTGCACGAATCTACGCGACGGAAAAAAAGTTAATGTCAAAATTCAGGACTCATATTCTCATATATAAATAAGTTATAATTCCGGTATAGTCCAGCATTATAAAATTTTATGATAATTTTTACTATAATATTTTCTCCGCGTAATTCTACTAAAAATATCATATTCTTATTGCTCAAGAATAATTTATTTTTTTTGTTTTTTTATAATTTATATCAAAGTTTTAAAGGCTAAGGAAAAACGGCTTTCAAATTTTCAATTTATATAATATATATTATACAGCGTGTAATATATATATATATATATTAAAATAGAATATATCAATATTGTATATCAATATTATTATGCTTTAGAATAAATCTTGCAAGAATAACAATCGAGATTAATACGTGATAATTTTCATAGGTCAAATTAAGAATTGTATCAGTTTGAAGATATCGTTCTTCCTGTCCAATATTTTTATCTCACAATTCATAAAAATTATTCTTAAATAATAAGAATATATTTTTAGTAAAAGTATATAGAATTTCTATGCCACTATAACTATATATAGAATTTTTTCATGCAAGATTATATATTCTTGCTTATATGTGAGAATATGAGTCTTGAATTGATATCAATTTTTATTACGTGCGTTATACGCTTTAGTAAATTTTGGACAAAGAAGTCCAATGTGGAAATTGTATCTTATCTTTTGCCATACTGAAGTGTTTGGTCGATACCCGATAATTTGCTTATATAATGGGGTTTCAAATTACGGCTAAATCATTATATCATACACGCTTATCGGGGAAAAAAGGAAGAGCTAACGTGAAAAATAAAACTGAAAAATATTCCGTAAAATATCTCAAAATTTTGCTATAGAAATTTTAGAGACATATTTCGCGAGTAGCTGAGTTCTTTTCCTTTCAGAAATCGGACTCCCCGATTTCTCCTGATTGTCAACGATCGGCAACGGTTCGAAATACTACGCGTGGAAATCTTTATGCTCGAAATTTCAACTCGAATTATCCGAGCGAGATTATCCTGCGTTGAAAAAATAAATGAATTAAAATTGGATTAGACTACATTCGAGAGAGTTCTAATTCGGAGAAATTTCTAAACAAAAGTACGCGCTATATACACTCGGTCGCGCGGGGAGGCCGAAGTAACGGAGGGGGCGAGACTTACGTGTTGTCCTTTTCATCTCGATCGACACTTTCCACGGCGACTTGGTTCTCCATGCTTATGTGTATTTCCAGCCGGACTGCCGCCTAGGAGGAGCACGAACGACGCGGGTGCGCGAACATCGAACAATTGACAGAAGTCGACCCGCGCGACCAGCCAAGGCGAACGTGCGGCAGCGCGCGCGGGGTTGCGATGCGGCGTGAGATGTCATTAGTGCGTGCGGCAACGCGCGGTTCGGCTTTCCTAATGTGTTTACATAAATATTACGGGCACGAGGGGACCGCGACGGGGACACGTGGCGGGGTGACGAGCTGATTGTGCTTGCCGGTATCAATGGCTCTCTGTCGAGAGCCGCCGATAAATACGGTAGTTCTTGGATAGCCATTCTTTAGGTTAAATTTGTTTTTCAACCAAAGCCCTTAGCAGAATGGACGACTTATCGGTTCGAGCGACATTTTATGCTTTTAAATATTTGTCTTGAATAACGCACGATGACTACGTTTACACGGCAACGTTAAACCGGTTCAGCAACCAGCGTAATTAGTGACTTCTTGCATCCGATTAGTATATTCTTGCATATCTAAAAATATATTCCAATTAAGTACAAGAACTCGCTGAGTCTCGGTTTTTCATTTTCTTGATAATTCGTGATTTGGCTCAACTTGTCCATTGAAAAATTTTTCATATAAAATTAGAATAAAATGTAGAATATGTTCACGTATAAAACTATATAATTATATATATTAAATTATACATGTTTATATAGATAAATATTATATATATATAATAAAAAGTATATATATATATATATATATATATATATATATGTCTAATTATATATGTCTAATAGACATATATATATATATATGTCTAATTATATATAATTTTATCGAATTATTTTCATATATAATTATATATGAACAATTTTTTAACGGGTCATGATAACGTGAAAATTGTTTTTCTATTTACAGTTAATTACTCAATTTTTAAAATTACTGCTACAGACCATCCAACTATTAATGATTAACCATGAGTAGAAAAACAAAATTTTTGCATTATCATCGGTTTAAACCGCAGGTTAACCAGAAAATGAACAATTGGACCTAACTATGATCGTTATTGAACAGTATTAATTGATCTGTTCTTTTTAGCTGTATCAGTTCAGCAGTGCAGCTAAAAAGAACAGACCAAATGTACCGTGTAAACAAAGTTAATGATTCTTGTATTTGGAGTCTTAAACCTATAAACTACCCCATTTCATCAATGACAAACTGCTGTATGATTAAAAAAAATTTAATAATAATTTAAATAAAGGGCATAAAATATTGTCTTAAAGTTGCAAGTCAACCATTTTGCTAAGACCTTGACGCACAATAATTGTCTTACATCTAGAGTCTCAAACTAAAAAAGTTGTCCTGTTTGTAACTAATAACAAACTGTTATATAATAAAAAAAAGTAAAGTAAAAAGAAATGATAATTTGGATAAAAATTTAGGATATCAAATATTGTTTTAAAATTTCAAGCCAGCTATTCTGTTAAGGCACTAACGCACAATGACTATCTTGTGGCTGGAGTTTTAAACTAAAAAGTCATTCCGTTTATGATTGAAGATAAATCATTATAAGATAAAAAAAGTCGACAAAATTTTTAGACAAAGATGTAGGACATAAAATATTGTATTAAAATGATTAGTCTATTATATTCTGGGTTTCTAAGGCCCTAAAAGCGTGAACGTGAAAAGTGAAAAGTTTCACATGAACCCGGCAACTTTAGTGAACGTAGGATCGACTATGTATCTCAAAACTTGGCGAGAATTACAAGAGTGAGTTCTCGTTTGATCGGGTAACTTTCATCATGATGAAAATGTGATGTATCCTACAAAGTGGAGTTGCTCGACAAGTAATTTCGCGTCGAATGGCGAATCGAACGGTGTCGCGGGGATATCGTATTCCCACTTAGAGCCAATTGCGCGTATTTATTCGCACGAGATGAAAGTACGAGTGGTGAGGAAAGTCGACGAAGATATACAATCGACCCTCGTGTCACTTTCCGAACAACGGAAATGTGAAACTTCTCACGTAAAACTTCTTCGCTCCTAAGGAGACGTTACATGATTGCTGCTCCGAGGATCGATCATAAATCTTTCCCTGTAGTGCGAACTCATGAAAAGTGAGAACTTTCCAACACTAAATGTGTTCCAACAAGTAGTGACAAGATAGATTTACGATTCGCCCTTCGGGAATCAATTGCAAATCCTTTTTTCTAGCGTGAACCCGTGAAGAGTGAAAATTGTTCAACTCGAAGCTGTTTAGAAGCGTTCACCTTTCGTGTGAGTTCACGCTAGAAGGTAAGATTCGTAATTGCCCCCTTGGGGGTCGATTCTGCATTTCAATGCATGGTGAAAATTGCAAAAGGGGGACTCTCATTTGATTGGGTAATTTTCGCCAAGTGATGAAAATGCGATATATATCTCACGAGGTTGCTCGACGAGCAACTTCGTGTCGAATGGCGTGTCGAACGGACCGTCGTTTCCTCACTTTGCGCACATGTTTACTCCCACGAGATGAAAGTGCGAGAGGCGAGAAAAGTCGAAAAAGATACACAATCGACCGCCCGAATGACGAACTTCGTACTATTCGGCTGTGCGATTCGCAAGCCTGCATTCTGAATTTCTGTTACGGACTTCGCGAAGTGAATTCCGTTTGGTCGAATCGGTGAAGCCGAGAGGAATACCTCTCCGTCCCGGTGAATTGCCTTGTTCGTCGGATCGAAAGATCGGAAGCGACGTGGTACAAATTGCGAGAAACTTGCAGGATGCGTCGGTTGGTCGGTCGATCGACTCCATCGGGATCGGAGGACCGTTCGATCGCCGTGAGAATGCCTGTCCAATTTCTTCGTTCGCTCCGCTCTGATTCATCCGGCAGCCGTGGCCAAAGTAAATTCTCGCAAAGAACACGGACGTAGTTACCGCGTCTAATCGTCCGTGGCGGGCCGAGTGTTAACGACGTTACAAAAACTCGGCGCTAACGCAATGAGATCGGATATTCTATTCTGGTTATGCTGCGTTTGCTCCGTGTGGGCACGAATCAGTGTATTTGTACTGTGACATCGTATTCATCGATCGAAAGGCCGGCCGTGTCGGTCTCGAGTAGCTCTACACATTTTCCTCTCCCTCTATTATACTCTCGGTTATGAGTACTACGGTCTACAGGGGAATGCCGAAGATATCTTACAAAATGTTACAAGTTTATTCCTTAGAACTATCGCATATGTATATATATATAGTAGACAATAATAAATCACAATTGGTTGAATAACATGAACATGGGGCGGTAGTTCATGAATAACCAGAATACTGTAACTTCTGTCAGCGATCCCGTCGACGGCGTCGGGCTCCATCGAGTTCTCGCTTCGACCCGATTTAACAAAGTAGAGTCTCTCGTGTTCGCTGCGTAATGACCTAATTACCGAGAGAGGTGAGATCCCTTACAAATTCACGGCCTTATGATGGGTATACGAAATGGAGAACTAGTAAGAGAACAGATAACGAGAATCTTCGGCTTCCAAATGCATCATTATTCTTGGAGGGGAGGGGGAATTTTACACGATCACCGATGGCGGCGAATATTTACACGCAATGTGCTGGCAGGCGTCGATTAGAAAAGCGAAGTACCGACGACGATGACGACGTGCGCAGCGTCGCGACGCTCCATTAGCCTATCCTCGCGCGAACGCAGAAGAGTCTCTTTTTACAGAACTTTATAAAACTTTTAGTGACCGCGCGCGGCTCGAGCGAGCCGCAGGTCGTTGTACGTGAGAGTGTGATTTACGAAATTTACAATTCCTCGTGCTTCGCAGCGTCCTCGATGGTTTCTGAAAGAACGGGCGATTAGAAGAAGCCACTGGGAGACTTCTGCGTTAGCGTGGCACATCGCAAGGAAGACTTACCACCGTCCTTTTCCGTCTGCCTGTTCTCGTTCTCCACTTTCTGCTGCAACGCTTTGATCTCCTCGTCGTAGCCCACCCACTCCGGCAAGATGCGTATGGCCGCTTGCAACTTGGCTTCCTTGGTCATCGGATTATTGCACTGCAACGGTAAAAGAAAACGTGTTATAGCGGGGAAAAAGGACGTCATTTAGCGATGTTCAGAATGTACAGGGTGAGTCTGATGAAAAATCAACCACGATTTCCTCGAAAACGGTGAGAGATAGGGGAAAACACCTAGTATCAAAAGTGTAGGACATATAGAGGGGGCATACCTCACTGGTCTTAACTTCGTTGTATAGTCAATCATTCAAGGTCACTTCAAAGTCAACTTCATTTTTTCAAATGGAATCGTACGATTTTTTTTTTTAACACAAATCAATTTCTCTGTTTATTCTGTGTACAAAAGTCACTAAGATGTGTTCATCGAAAAGTGAATACTTTCCGAGATATTTCACTTTTTATTTTGATATTTTTCAACGCAAAATATGAAATATTCCCTAAAGTATTCACTTTTCGATAACATCACCTTAATGTTTTTCCACATAATAATATGAGAGAAAGCGATTACTGATGCTTATCGATACATATTGGTGCATCGATGCATTTGCAAAATGCGATAAATTTTTTTTTCAGTTTTCTCATGTTTATTTACAGCGATCGATTCGGTCTGTGTGGCATTCTACGCGAAAAAGTGTTAAGTTCCGCTCGTTCTTGCGATGTAAACGAGAATACGTACCAAGTCTATGGTTTTCGCATATCTCTTGGACGCATCGTCGCACCACGTTTCGCACCACAGCCACTCCTGCGGTAGCGTCTTGATGGCCACTTGATGAATCATGTTGTTAGGGAGATCCTGAAATTGTTATCGATTGTTATTATGCGCGTTGTGGTCGATTTAACGCGACGTTCTCATTTAGATAGTTTTTAATTTAATTTTACAGGTCATGAATTTTTTGTTTAACTTCATTAAAAATGAACTCATCCAGGCTTGCTTATAAATATCGAGACCGTTTAATGTCACCCACCTGATCAAGATTCGACAAGCTGTTTGGATCTTGACTCAATGCTTGATACTGCCCCCGCAGCCTATCGCCCGCTGCGATACGGCGGAATCGCTTGAGATCCACTACGTATAACGCGCTGATGTGGTACGCCCGTCCCTGTAGATGATTCCTCCAGTATCCCTGTTTCCAAAACCGAAATCCGTCCATTTCGGTTCTACTGTCGCAGAATGGTGTGTACGCGTACGGTGCGCCGCCGAGATCCATCGTCGCCAGTTCCTTCAGGTCCGCTCGAACAACCTACGGAGAAGCAATCGTGTGAAGTACTTTATCACACGGAGAAGGGTGAGCTATTTGCACATCCGTTCTATTTATACATCTACCTGATCAGCGTCGACGAATATTATCTTCTTCACGTTCAACGGGAACAGCACATCCAGGAAGAGTATCTTGTAGCCCCAGATGGTTCTCTGTTTCTCCGTCTGTTGGTGAAGCCAACGAGGCCACTTGTATTGAACGAGTTCGTACTCGAAGCCATATTCCTCGGCCATGTGCGGCAAGAAGTCCTATGACGCGTGAAAAAGGAAACGTTTAATTAATCACGGCTTCCTTCGCAGAATGAAAAACCTTCCTTTTTCGAATACAAGGGCCGGCATATACTGTACACACATATGCACACAGTTTACTTACTTTTAACGTTGGCGAGAGGTAGTTTTTCAAAAACCAGAACTTCACCGGCGTTTTAGTGTGCTTAATAACACTCAGCATCATGATCTTCAGGAATCTCTCGTACAAGTGGCCGGACGCGAGTGAGAAGATATTCAGTTTCTCATCTTGGTCCTCGCTTTCGTCGGTTGTGGCGAAGGTCCTAGTTTCGAGAGTACATCGAGACACATGAGAAACTCGAGTCAACGGCGATCAAGCTATTTTACATCAGCCGACAAAGGATTCCAATTAATACAAGCTACATTATCGAAGCAGCGATATGTTAAATTAGTTAATAGGACAACAGGCTGCAAACGAGAATACATATCGGTGACTTGTAACGTAAGGTAGCTGACATCAATGATATCGCGAGGGCTCGGAGGATGCGACGTATCAAGATCGCATGACGACGCCGAGACAGCTCGACAAGCCACAAATATGTCTTTTGGCGCATTCGTCTTAATCCCGACTTCTTTGCTCTTAATTTGCACTTAATCACACATACTTAGAGAATTATGGATGTACTTAACTACATAATAATGAGAAGCTTACCAAAATTTGGCAATGCTAAAAAAGAGAGAACAAATAAAAGTTAAGTTCGAAGGTGACGGAAGTACCGTGCTACACACATGTTAAGTACCAACACACACGCAGCGTTTAATGAATTTCAACCGGGAGACTCGGTCGGAAAGAACACAGAAGGAGCAGCCCGGTATCGACCGGACGTACCTGGAGATCGAGTTCCACAGTCCGGAATCTTTCTCGTTGTCCGACAAGAGGTCCATGCTCGCTTTGTCCGGCTTCTTCGACACTTTGATCTTCAGCACGTGGCTCCGCAACGAACTGATCAGGACCTTCACGTCGTTGCCGTTCTGAATAGCGTCCTGGCCGTCGACGGTGGTGAAGTCGTAGATCTCCGCGGATCTCCCTTGCCGCAGTCGCAACACCCATTCGCCGGGGTTCGCTTTCAGCTGGAAGTAGCCCAAGTTGGCCATTACTATAGTGTCGACCATCACCGGCTGTTTCTTGGTGCCCAACGTGAACTGGAGGCCCCTCGGTGGGTTTCCCATCACCGCCTCGAAACAGTGACCCTCGAGGAGCAAGTATTCCAGTTCGAATTCGCTGGAACGACACGTGCACGTAGAAGTTAGCAAAATTAACAGCAAGAATGATTGCTTCTAGTTTTAAAAGATCGGACAAAATTCGGTTCTTCCTCCCCCATTTTGCTACGGTTTCTTCGGTTTCTTTTCGGGGAAAAAATATAGAAAAACGGTTTTTTCAAACTATAATTGTTTGGATGATTCGATGGTTTTACCTGTGCACGCCGATCGCAACGTTGTCCAGCTTGATGTTGTCTAAATCGTAAACGCTGCGGACTACTTCCACCAGCCAGTTCTCGGGAGCGTGGATATATTGTGTCAATAACGACGAAGTGGGAAGTTTCGTGAACTTCGCGAAGGAACCGCTGATGTCTCCCTCAGCTGTAAATTGCAGCTCAGGTTCCAATACAAATCGGTAAAAACTGAAACGAGATGGAAAAGCGTATCATTATGAAAAATTAAAGAGTGAAATTATCAGAAATAAAAAATTTAAAAAAGCCCCGTAGATATCCAATCAGCAAAACTTTTAAAAAAGGGCCAATAAGAGTCAGTGCACGGATTAGTGCAATAAAATAAAAAAAAAAAATCATCAAAATCAGATTATCATATAGTAATCTGTAATCTCTGATAGTGTTATAAAGTTAATGTCAATGTCTGGATTTGTACCATTTTCACTGAGTAACATCATTAGGATTCGGCAAAGAGATTGTGAGGAAAAAAGTGGCGTTAGTATTACCTCTTCAATGGCATGTCACTGTTTTTCTCTAGACAGTTCAAGAACACCTTTATATTGCAGTTCAAGGCTTGCTGCAGCGTCTTCAATATCGGGCCCAATTTCTGGGCGCCACGCGAAACTGGGTCTACAATGGCAATGAAATTGAAGGCAACTTCGTCGGGGTTGGCCGCGGGAATTTTGATGACGCTGCAAAATGGAAACAATCTCGGTATAGTTTTGAAAGACTCGGAAAGAAATCGGTTTTTTTATTTCAATTTTTCTGCGGATTTTCAGTTTCTTTCTCAAGAGTGGAAAAATTCACGTGTGTTCGGTTCAAGTCTATCACACATTTATTTCTTTCCATAAAGAAGATAATTTCGTGTCTTCAACTGAAGATAAGTGAAGTTAATATGTTATATATAAAGCTTCTATTAAGCTTGTGCTTTGCGCAATGTACAATGAGCAATGTATGATTCAACCTCCAAGTTACTTTGCGCGCCGTTTTTAAGAAAAATCTTTGTCGAGTACTGTTCACAATTAAAGATAGGATACAAATTTTAGCAAAAATAATATCAAGTAACTTCCTGGATCACACATTAATATGATAATGAAGGATATTAAAAATTATCCAATATATCTTAAGTAACAGAAAAGCAATTTTTCGCAAAAACCTATTTTTCTAGCAACTAAAAAACCGGATTTTCTTTAACCATAAATCTCACTAGAATTACAACGATCATAGATTTTATATACTTAAAAAGATGACATCAAAGGTACACATTGTCTCACCTATGATCATCCCCATGGAAAGGAACATCGAACCGGTTTCGAGTTTGTGGCCGCGGTACTAAGAGCGAGGCGATCTTCATGATCATGTCGTCCGTGATGTCGTTCTCTTCTGCAGAAAATTACACGCAGATTTCATAATTTGTATCGTATAGAAATTAGAGGAAGTATCATATAAATATTAATATAAAATAATAGCATTATAATAAATAATAAATTGTAATATATAAAATATATATAATTATATATACAATAAATATATATTGTAGTAAATTATAATAATAAATATTATTATGATTTCTCGCATTACCGTATTCATCATCGTTGAAGAACTGGTCCTTCAACAGTCTCATAAATAACTTAGCTCCGTAAGTACTCTGGCTGAATCTCTCTAACAACGAGAAATCCTCGTTCGTGAATTCCTCGTCACTGTCCAGGGGGCCGATGACACGGCCGTTGCATAAAATCGCTCTTGCTCCCGGCTCCAGGTTCAAGACACTTTTCACGTAATGCTGATGCAGTTGCAGTATCGAGTTTTGAATCTTCAACAATACCGCGACGGCGTCATTCTGCAGCGACGCGAATTCCATTACCGAAACGAATCAGGGTAACGCGCCAACGTAATACCAATCGTCTCTTACCTCAAGATCGAAGTTACCGTTAGCGATGAGAGCCGCATTCTCTTCTTTGATAACTTTACGTATATAGAGTATGGCCCTTTCCGGCGACAATGCATCCAATGCGGCGAGAACGATTCTGTTAATGTCGGATTTCAGATCCGAGTCATCCGAGTCATCCTTTGTGTTAATGATAACACCAATTCGCGCGTCGGTGTTTGATTCCTGTGGGAGACGCGGCATTCGAACATATTTACTCGTTCTGATTCATACAGAATCGTGCGAACTTCATTTCTAGGTTACACACCACGTATATAAATGCCTCTCGCAGCAGTTGCCTGCCAAGTAACGACTTTAAGTCCGCCACGACCCAGAAGGAGTACATGTGATGCGTGTTTGTGCGACGTGGTACGAAGAAGTACTGCATCTTCTTCATCAGGTAAGTCGACAGATCTTGATTGCTCCATTTGGTGTAATCCTCGTCTTCCGGCAGCGTGCCGATTAAGTTTAGCCATGCGTGCTTGTCCACCTTCAAGATACGCTCGTTCAGCCTGAAAGAACCAGTTAATCAGCACTAGAGCTAATTTATAAGCAAAGAAAGATATTGAAGGCTTCGATGGTGTCTAAATACAAAAGCAGAGTTAGAGATCAAATTCGTTATGAGCTTGGTGATTTTATTATCCGCATACGGCTACTTAAATATCCTGCGATTTGCGAAGAAGTTCAATTTGCGGAATCAGAATGAGCGGAAGATGGAAAATTCGAAGTTACATGTTTGCCACTCTGATCGAAATAGCCCAAATAATCTTTCACTTTGTAATTCGAAGAGCTGCATACCGTGGCATAACGTTCGGTTGGTTCATGAGAAAGTCGATCACGTCGTCTCCTTCCGTCACGTCGCCGCGATACACGGCCTTCTGCAGGGCGGGTGTTTGCGACATGATGGTGGACAGCACGGCTTCCTCGTACGACTCCGAGTTCAACTGGCTGGGCGTCAAGGGTATGCCGTTCAGCAACGCCTGCGGAAACTTCTTGAAGCCGCATCGTTTGATGAAATCGCCGGCCAGATGCCGTCCCACGTCGTACTCCGACTCTTCGCCGAGTATGTAATTGATATTAGCTGACGAGTCTCTGGACTTGATGGTCTTCTTGACGTCTTCCACGTCCAAGCCATAGGGACCGATATAGTTTCCTAGCTGAGATGGAAATCAATACTCTTACTTCTCACTGACACCGACAGCCGAGATCAAACGACGTAGACTGGTTACCTCCGCCAAGAAGTGCACAGCCTCTTTCGTGCTTTTAGTGTCCGCGAAATAGTGATACGCGTTGTTCACCGCAACTCCGGCGTCCGTCAGACCTGTCACTGTGGTGGTGTAAATTGTCACGAAGACGAATCCAACCCGCAGCGGCGCCGAGTGCGAATAGAGAGATTGCGCGAGAGCTATCAGCGGCATCGAGTCTTCGCTCAGAGGATCGATGATTAACACCTGAAGAAAGAACAGTGCATGTTAAATATATCTCACATAAATATATCTTACATGAAAGTGTAATAAAATATGAAATATAAATTAAATCAATAAATAAATAAGTAAATGTGTGTGTGTGTGTTTACGTATAACTCATACGTTATACATATATATATATATATATAATATTAAATAAAATAAATAAGATATATCTACAGGGTGAAGCAATAACTATTACCACTTTAAATATCTTTGGAATTATGAGAGTAAGAAAAATTTAACAGAAATGACAGAAATTACTTAAATTTCAAATTCAATGACGTTCTCACTAACCAGGTTGTACAAGTTTCTCCTGATATTCCTAAGCATGCCGGGGAAGGTCGGCCGTAACAGCTCCGTCAACGACGGCGGCCACTTGCTGTAGCGCGAGTCATTCTCGATATCATTGATCCAATTGATAGCGGAATCCCTGATGTCCATCGCAAAATTCTGGCTATCCATGCCCCCAGACAGATCCAGAGCCAACAATTTGCTCATCTTTTTGTTATTAAAGCCTGAAATAATTCACGAAAACGTAACTCTCAAGCACGAACAGTCTGGAGCATGAATAAATTGAGCATTAACCGCTATGCAACATTTCTTCCCCTTCGCAAATCACACACCAATCTTATGAAGAGCCTCCATTACTCGTAGCTCGCTTCTCAGAGATTCCAAAAGAGTCAGCACATCGATGGCTTCCAAATCGAAGAATAAACCATTGATGAAAAGGGCAGTATCGGTCGGCTGTATGTTCAAGCTTGCCATGAAGATTTCCTGATTTAATTTCATTTCCTTCTTCATGTCGCTATTCACTTTGGTTCTGATAAGTGATTTCGCCTGCAACACGCACAAGCATGTTACTATGCGTACTCCGTCATATACTTCCTGCTTAAAACTCACTTCGAAATACGTACTTGCATGGGGAAATTCTGCGATATATCAGTCAAGACGTTCAACGACTCTGTCGAGGGAGACTTCATTATTCTCTCAGCTGCTTGGTGACTCAACTCCTGAAACTGCCATACTTTCAAGGCTCCGATCTCGTGACTGGTCTCCAATAGGTGCGTCTGTACCTTGTCCAGTTCAACATGTTGTTCCGGATACAGTTTCCTGGAAAGATAGACATACATATATATTTTAATAATGCCATTCAAGATATATTGCGGGAGAAGCAAATCAAATACCTCTGACATTCCCAATAACCACCTTACTTTAAAGTCATAAAGTTGATTCCCTCGATTTCCTCGACGCCGTCGTTCGTCACTTCCGAACTCTTGCCTGTGTTGTCTTTGATGTCCGAATCATCAGTTGCTTTATACTCTGTAGACTTCATCTGTAGTTCCACGCCATAGCCCGACAAACATAGTTTCTTATTTGCCCTTTCCTACAAAATATCACCGTCAAGTTACAACTGTCATACTACAAAATGTGATGTCAAATATCTACAATATATTTAAATTCTTCCAGGTATTTATTCAAGTAATAGACACCCTGTTCTTTTTATTTGCATGTATTACTACCTTTACATAATGACGAAGGATATAATTAATCCCCTTTGTTTCAGCTATATTTTTCAGTTTCTCATGAAACTCGATAAACGTGGGAGTTCCAATCTGACCATACAATATTATAGTCTTGTCAGTTTCTGAAGTACTCAAGTAACGGTGATCTATATTATAAGTGTCAGTGGTTTCCCATGTATCCTGAAATATAAATAATGCAATGATCAATCTTATCACACATTATGTATTTTGCATTAATAGGAATTATATAATTCACAAACCTGTTCTGTAATCTGAGACGAATCAAGTAACTCATCTATATCTTCTAGAGAACAAGTAAATGTCCCGCCAATGTCAACAACACTGTCGCACGCATACGAAGAAATGTTTTTATTCACAGCCATTTGAGAGAACATTTCAACGCGTGCGGAATAAATACGCAGTGACAGTCCTAGCTTAAAAACTGCTATCTCAGACTCGGACAGATAATTTTTAGCCAGCTCCATAATTATGTCGTAACTCTCCTTCTCTGTAGCTGTTTGGGATAATACGACATATAAAAGTGACACAGCAATAACTAAAACTGCTAAATTACAATTGCAAATATGTTCACCTATTGCAAGGCCATTAGTCTTTTTAGAAAATGCATCAACAAACTTCCAAAAGTAAGTTGGATTTTCATCATTGAAATATTCGGCCGCCTCGAGAACCAGAGGTGTTTCGTTCCATTTGGCATTTATCAATGTTGTTACATATTTGTTGATCTTCTTATCAGCTCTGAGTTGTACGGAACATAAGCACAGCAGCGTGTAAAAAAATATAAGCACCCCCATCTGCAACACACACAAAAGAAGAATCGTCATCGAGCATAACATCACCGACGATATTGCATTTCTTTCCACATTTCCACTTATCTACACCATCATAATAAGAGATTTCAGCGAAGAAAGCTACTTGCTTTGTTAGTAAAACTTTACACATCAAGTCTTCACTGAAACTCACGGTTGATCGCACTTCAATGCGCGGGTCGATCGTGTCTGATCAACCGGAAGATAAGAGTTCGGTGGGAAAATTTGCGTGTGCCGCGTCCGATGATTGACACGTAATGTTATTATGTGCGGTGCTCTCGCAGATAACCTCAAAACGATTCGGTCGCCAGGAATCTCTACGTACCTTCGGGAACTTGGTTAAAAATTGTATTAACTACGAAAAGAATGCATCAATGATTGCAGCCCATCCACGCAGCGCACGTGTCACACGCACAATATCTCGAAACGGCGAGCGGACAATCGGGAAATGCGACTATCATACGGCTGATGCGGGATGACGTCGCCGCGGACGACTCGCGGCGTTTAAACCGGCGTACTCTTCCGTGATTGGCCGCGAGCGAGAATCGGGAATTCCGGCTGAAAATGCTCGGATACAGGTTATGTGACGTCACATTTCACTCCAAAGTCTCCGCAACGAACCGTCACTTTCCACGACGAAGCAGAGGTCGTGGTACGACTCAACGATGGGTCCGACGGACTTTCACTTTCTAAGTGGTACTATTCAACGGTGGATCAGACAATCTTTTTACTGTGACTCGTGAGAGATAAGAAAATTTTGACGGGCTGTAACTTCGGCAAAAATGACGTTATCGGGATGGTTCGCAAAGCGTTTTGCAGCTTGAAGTCTCTACTTTTTAAGCATATTAAATTAAATAACATTTCCGTCGTTTGTTATTAAGGTATATAGAATTAAGTGAGAAATGGCGACCGTGAAACATTCGATCATTCTTTTGCTAGTTTTACGTGGAAAAATTATTTATCCCTTTCCTTTTATTCTGACAACGAAGTTTACATGTAACGGTAATTTTGATTAAATTCCGATTAATTTAATCGACGATTTAAAATATCTATCGCTATCATTTAAATATTCCCTGCTCTGTCATGCCAACAAAAATAAAAATCATTAACCGTTTGGTCATTACTCAACGGCAAGTACCGAACTGGAAGTTAGTATTAGCAAATCTTATCATTATTTCTTATCATCATTATCGATTAATTTAATCTGAGTTTGGTTAAAAGGGTCACCTTCAAACTGTAAGGCTCTGCGCACAATGGAAATATATTAGGAATATCAAATATTAAAAATAAGAATTGGGAATAGTGTGATTAAACATAACGCACAATGGAAGAGAATAAAATATAAGATATATCCGGAAGAAAATGATTATATACAATTATATAAAATCATATATGAATTTTGACCATAAATGTGGTTACACATATGATCATATATGCTATACGAAAAAAATAATGTTATGTCATTTAATTAAATGTCGATATCATGTGCTGTTAGAAGCACAAGTAGCCGGAAACATTTACTTCGATTGTATTTGCATATAATTTGTAAACAACAGTACTTTTTCGTCGTGGACATACATGATTACATATAGTCATATATGGATAGATTTCACATATAATCTTTTTTCTCCCGGGTAAATATAACAACAATTATATTACATACAGCCTTTCATTTCATTCCGTTGTGTGAAAATACTTCCTAACTCCTATTTCTAATATTGAATATTTATTCTTATCCCCAACATGTCTTATTGTGCGCAGGGCCTAAGTCCGCGAGCGCATTCGAAAATATCGAGAAGATAATCGATCCTCCGAGGGGAGAAAAGAGTCGCACGCCGCTAGCCATCTGTCGTTCGACCATCGCTGCTCCCCGAGTTCGATTATTCCCAGTTATCGCCGTAATGGTAGTTGCTCGCCTCGTAAACACAGAGAAGTGACGTTCACCGCTGCACCTCCGTTCCCGTCTCGTGACAGGCTGTGAGACACGCGAGATCGCGTCTCCCGGATCCTCGCGTTCTCGACGAGCCCTTTTCTACACTTGAACGCGAAAGCCCGAGTAAAATCTATCGTAACAATCGAGCGATATGGCCGCTGTAGCTCGCGAATTCGTTCCGATCCGCAGGAACTGAGCTCTCACGAGCTTGTTCCTCAACCGACCGAGTGATCTCGTGGGACCGCTGCGTGGCGAATATCCCGGGTATTCCCGAGAGCGAACCTCTCAAGGACGATAGCTGTCGGTTTCCGATAATCAGGCATGCACTCGACGCACCGTCTCGTATCGTCGTCGCACCGTTGTTTGCCGGTGGTCGCCCTCGGATGAACGTGCATTCGTCGTTCAGTGCCGCGCCACCATGAGCGAGAAGACTAGAAAGGTAGTAACCAGGTTCCATCCGATTCACGGTGACAATATCGTCCTGCGCGAGGACAACACTGTGGCGGTACGTACTACGAGCTTCGCCAACTCTGTAGCCTTCAGCGAGAAGCCGCTGCAACCTGGGGAGATCTTCCTCGTGGAAATCGAGAAGACGGAGAGAGGATGGAGCGGACACATGCGGCTGGGTCTCACCCTGATCGACCCGGCTTCGGTCAACAATAACCTGCCACAGTACGCGATGCCCAATCTTGTCAGACTGGGCAACACATGGATCTTTGCCATAACGAGAAATCAGACTATTTGGGACTACACCGGCTATGGTTAATATCTGTAATCACCTGTAAAGTCCAAGGATTTATGTTTTTTTTCTAATAGCGAGTTCGGATAATTCTTCGTAGAATAGTTGACTTGTAGTTTTAAGACTATATTTTATACCCTAAATCTTTGTCTAAATCATCTTTTTTTTAATTCTTTTTCTTATTATTTATTTATCATTCATTATTATTCATAATGATTTATCAATTATAGATAACATAGCTTTTTAGTTTAAAACTTTAGATATAAGACAGTAATTGTACATCAGGATTTTAGCAAAATGAATGATTTGTAATTTTAAGATATTATTTCATGCTCTAAATTTTTGGCTAAATTATCATTCTTTCGTGTTTTTCTTTATACAATGGTTTGTCATCAATTACAGACAGAAACATGGATTTTTAGTTAAAAACTTTAGATACATGATAGTCATTGTGCTTTACTCAATTAAGATTCATATTCTGAACTCTCTTTTATCGATAAAAGCACCTTAAATATGTCTTCTTAACCAGTCAGCTGCTTTCTACGCAACTTTTATATACACTTTTATCGATGAAAGTGGTCTCAGAATATACTTAGACCATAGACTTAAGGTGTCGAACATTGAGACATTGTCTTAAGCCGATAAGTCAGCGATTCTGCCAAGACCTTTGCACAATTAACATTGCATTGGTACTGTATCTCTCATTAGCGTTATTTAGATACTGACTAACATTGTTCCTTCTCTGTTACTCGAGATGAGGGCATACCATCCAGAGAGAAGAAACTGGTCACGGACGGGGTTAACGTTCAGACATCGCGCGGTGTCATTCCCTACAGTCTTCTGAGACCGAACACGCTTGGCTCTTCCCAATATATATTGCCTACGGATGCTGGTAGTCGCATAGGTATCATGTACGTGCCACAAGCAGGCTCTGACAAGGCGGAGATGCACTTCATTATTAATGGCGAGGATCAAGGCGTATGCGGGAAGGATATCCCTTACAAGGCTGGCCCTTTGCGCGCGGTGGTGGACGTCTACGGCACCACGAAACAAGTTCGGATAGTTCAACTGTACGGGGGTGAGTGTCGACCGGTGAGATCAACGTCGGAAACGACGTCGGGACAAAGGCGTCTCTTTTTCGCGTTCCTCATCTTTTGTGTTTTCACAGTGTCGACCCTGCAGAGCGCGTGCCGCGACGCCATTCTGCAGTACACGAAGAGGAACGCGGTGAATCTGCTGCCGCTGCCGAGGTCGCTGAAGGACTACCTGTTGTACCAATCGCAATGAGAACCGGGTCACTCCCTTTCGCGGAGCGCGTCATGATCCTCTTTTTTCCTACTTCACACGCAGTGATATATCTCTCTTCATACATGGCATACGCGATTACGCATGTTCTGTTACAATTCAAGACTGACGACGGGTCGACCCGTTATGTTCGCGCACGAATTCATTCTTTTGTATACACGTGTCTTTTCTACGGATGGATGGATGGATTGTCTTCTCGTCGAACGTGAAATTCCCTTTTCCTCTCGCGCTTTCAATTGTAAATTCCCCCCTCCCCGGGAAGGGGAAACGGTAAATCGTCGTGTGTAAATAGTGTAACAAAATGTTTGTCTCGCAGGAACGAATTAAAGTAGAGAGAGAAAGAGAGAGAGAAGAAAGAAAAAAAAAATGAAGAAGCAACAGTCACAATCGACTCAATGTGATACAGCGAAAAAATTGTGAGGGCGGCGGGCGAACGCGCTCGCGAACGCACGCCGTAAAGTGATCATCTGTAGGGCATGCGTGTATAACGCCATATGTAGGACTTAAGGCATAATCTTTTCCATGGTTACTTTCGTTCCAGCGGATACACCTCGTTTCTCCGGTCACGGAGATACGGGACGTAGAGTTAAGTTTTGCAATTCACGCTGTTGTACGAACATGCGGGGAACGAATGAGATACTAATATAAAAGCGTCCAAAGGAAACCTGTTTTACAAAAAAGAAAAAAGAGAAGAAAAGAGAAGAAAAATAAATGTTCTTATGAAATAATTTATAAGATACGAGGAGGAGACTGATCATTGTGCAAACGGGGGCCTGTCCGATAAATAAATCCACACGCTATTTCCCGCATCTCACGCCCAGCGAAACGTAAAACTGCAGACCACGAAGACCGCCTCCCCTCCCCCCCCCCCCCNGCGAGTTATTTAGGACAATTTACTCGCTTATCAGCTTATGCGCGACAGATGCCGATTTTATTTTCGATCTTCGTTCTTTTTTTTCCGCAGCGATTTATACACTTAATTACTTACGTTATCACGAATTCGTCAGTGCTGATAAGTGCTTATAAATATTTATAAGCATTTGAGATAGCACATGAAGCTGTTGTTATTGTATTTATGAGTCCTTATAAGTACTTATGAATGCTTATAACACTAGTATGTTATTATATACTTGTAGATACTTATAAATATTTCCATACTTACACGTATACGTTATTCTCTTTGTACAACACACTCGGTGTAATGTCCTATCTTCTAAATTGATCGTTACTCGCGCAACAAGCAGGAGAAAGTAGGAATATGCGAGTACTCGTGTAATCTTCGCCCGTAATTGAGTAGGCTGATAAAGTTAAAAACAACGTTTATTTTTACATGGCGGCGAGAAACGAACCGGGCGAAATTTCTCGGGGGGAACTCTTGAACACTCTTGGGGGATCGTTGTTACCGTCATTGTCGTCGATACCGCAGGTTAACCCGTGGGCATAAGCAGGATCAGGATGATGATGTACGTGAGGATCACGCAGAAGAAGGACAACCATTCGACGATCGCGGCGAAGTGTCTCCAAGAGGACTCCTTCGTCCTCACCCCGGACCTCGGTACGTCCGGATTCTCTTCAGCCGCTGCGCCTTCGCCTGTTATCTTGGATTCTTCATCGTTCAGCAGCAGAAAACGACCGGCTCTGTTGTTCAAGACGAACGTCGTCGTGGACATGATCCAGCTCGGCGCCTCCATGCTCATGTCTTGCAGCTTGCGCAGCAGGGCGGTCAGGAGCAACACGAAGGTGGCCAACGCCAAGGACTCGCGGTAGAACAGCACTGGTAGGATAAAAAAACGTGAGAAACATAATCGGTTATCAGGGGTTTCGTTAATAATAACAACTAGATATAACTAGTAATAACTAGTTAATTAGGTAGAAGTTAAAAAGGTTTAATCCCTTAACGCACAGTTTTTTTGAGAAAAACCGGCCAAAAAAAAATCAATTTTTTTTTATGTAAAAAAATTGTTTTCTTTGCTTTCACATTGTTATTTTCAATTCTCGATTATATTCGAGTGTGAAAAATTATAGCAGCATAAAATACAACGCTGCTCGAATTATCTCGAGTGTGCACAGTTTGGCCTGTTTAGCGCGCTCGAATTAACTCGAGCGTACAAGTTAAGGGGTTAACTTAAGGCTGCGGAGTAATCGCTACGACTGTCCTTGTTTAATGACGTCAGAAACGAGAAAGCCAAGCGTGCCAAGATTTTTTGTGTTATACTTTCAGATAAAAAGATATATTCGCAAATTGACACTTGTGATCGATTCAGCACACTTGTAAAATTGGACGAACACTTTCTTTTTCTTGAATAGATATCTTTTTTATTAAATATGGACAGTCACAGCGACTACTCCGGAGCATTAACTTGGTTAAATTTATAAATGAGTCGACTTTTATCTTACATAAACTAATTATTTTAAAATGTATTAACTTTAACTTATTAATTTTTTTATAGAAATTAAAATAATTCATCAATATTAATTAAAAATAAAAATTAACTTATTCAACCTTATCAGTCACGTAATTTGAATCTCACTCACTCTATGTTTCTCAATCGCGTTCTAACCACGTCCAATATCTTTCTTTATTATTTACGATGTGATATAAATTTTTTAGGCAATAACTGTGATCACTCACTTATGTTAGGCGGGTTTACGCCGTTGTACGGCAACTGCCAATGCAGGTCGAATATGCAGAGTAGATGGCAGATGAAATTCACGCTCGCCACCGCTATTCGTTCCGTCGATCGCGAGTCCAGCCAAAGCACCGTGACAGTAAGCAGCATCAGAGCTGGAAGAGGAAAGAAGTGTCAGGTTTTGTGTTCATGCAAGTACAAAATGGCTTACCGATGGCCGGTGTGATGTAGGACGTATGACTGATGGCGTGATGCCGGCGCAACTTGAACGTGTAGACGATCTTCGGGAACGTGTCGTTCGGACAGCACTTGTACTTCTTCACCTGCTTCACCGCGTCTATAAACTTCAAGTCCCACAGCGAGTTGTTTTCGTAGCCGCTCATGTGAATCTGTAGAATGAATGAAGAAGAAAATGAAAGTTTAACGAGTGGAATTGAGAGGGTGATGAAGAGAGTAAGATTCGGAGGCCAAAGATCCAGAAAGTGATAATGATGTCAAAATGACGGAAAATAATCGAAAGATAAATTTTATAGTCATTTTCTCGTCATCTTGACATCATTCTCACGTCATTGTTATTTTATCTGTTCCATTTGGCTTGGTTGATCTGCGTACCCCGTTCCCGGTCAGATGGAAGTCGATTTCTTCGCCCGTGTACGACCATGAGCCGAGTGTGATGCGACATTTGTGCGTGTCGTAAGGCCAATAGGTGAAATCCGGACTACACTTCGAGATGTATTTCACGGCCGGCACGCAGGTGATGGAGCCCGAACTGAAGACCACGCACTCCGTTAGAGGCAGCTCATTTTGATCGTGCGACATGTCGCCACTGAAAGAAATTAAACGCGCGAGCAGTTAGCCTTAATTCGGCATATTTTTTTTCGTGACTGGACAAAACGCGATTTTAAGCCATGAAGGGAAAATTATCCGAACAGAACAAAAAGTCAACAATCAAACATTTCTCCAAGAAGTAGATCGTGTCGCTTATCAGATCATTGCACCTCACATTGTCACGTAGATTTTCTTCGTTTATATTTAATATCTTTCAATTAATATTTTTCAATGAATATATTTTAATTAACGCATTAAAGACCGCGTGCATGTTTTTGTGCGTTTCAACGGGCTAAAGATAAAGTTTCGAACTTTTATCAATTTTCCAATTTCACCCGGTCCTAGAAAAAGTTGGGAGAAAATCTACGGCCAGTAATGTGTTAGTATCTTTCGATATTAACGACATGAAGAGTGTTGACTCACGAATTGTAGACGGATATATCAGGCACCCAGATCTCCCAGGTCTTCACGTGGATGAAGTTGACTCCGTCGTAATCGCTCGGTGCCCAAGTGAGATGCAGGTCCGTCCAATACTGTGCCGATCAAACGTTTCATTAAAGTGTTAAAAAGCGACGAGACACGCGTATACAACACAAGCAAAATGACAATGTAGACTCACAATCGCCATCCAGCTGTGAAGCGTGAATATACCATTATATGTCTGCGGACAAAATTGATTAACATGACGGATTTAAAATTCATCGATATTACCTACACTCTGGGTAGAACAGAAAACGACTATAGAACTTATTTTTCGATCATTTTCACGTCATTTCCACGTCATTGTCATTTTCTGTTCTATCTGGGACGCTGTTATTGAACAATTAACGATCGTAATTGCGAATCGTAACTACAAATCTATATAAGGTATACAATTCCTCACGAGAGAGCGCACTCACGAATTCCATCAGTTTCGGCATCAGCTTCACGGTGACGTTCGTGACCGTTTTAAAGTGATCCGGTCGGGTGTTGGTGTCGTAATCGCAGAAGAGATCCTTCTTCAGGCGCAGTAACGGCGTTGTGTTCTCCAGATTCTTGCATCCTCGTCTTATCGCGCTTATTTCCGTGTCCTGCAGGATACTCAACGCGTCTGGAAAGATTGGTATTGCACCTCTGATCTCATCGTACCGTCTCAATGTAGATTTACGTTTCGTTTGAACAACAATTGTCTCATGATTCGATCGGACTTTCGTTTAGATGAGAGATACGATTAATGCCCCACGTACTGGATCGATGCTGCCAGAGGGCCATAAGAAGACCCAACACCCGTAGAAGCCGCATCTTGGTCAGCGAGAGTCAACGACGTTTCGCATTCGACTGATTGCCTTTTACGAGAATGGTGGATTTTCGTTATCGGACGCCCCGTGAAATTCGATCATCGCCGATACCGCCGGACGCCCCCGGGGTATCGATACGGTGATCTGCACGTTTCGCAACGAACTTGCGACTTATTAATTCGTTGGACTCGAAAACACAGTTTTAAATCCGAAAAGAACCTTGCCTATTCATATGCCCGGGTGGAACAGAAAATCACAATAACATCGAAATGACATGAAAATGGCGAGAAAATGATCGAATTATAATCGAAAAGTGAGTTATCACAGCTATTTTCTTATCATTTTAACGTCATCGTGATTTTTTTTTAATCTGGAATTCATTTATTTATTTATATTTATTTACAGGAAGAATTCCTTTGAGCCGACATAATTAGCATTTCAATACATAATAAGAAGCGTGACTTCCTTCTTAAAAATCATCAATATATAGTATAAATTTTTATTTATTTTATTTTAACTATCCGTGTGTTCCGATAGTCGTGAATTGATTGAAGAGTGTTGACGTTATCTATTATTTATAATCAGTGCAGAAACTGAATTGATTTTAGTAATGTAATTTCATAAAAGTATATGATATATATGCACACCTATGAGACTCACATGAGAATAATTATAAATTGTAAAGTTAATTACGATATAAACTAAATTTGATATTTATATTAAATGGTTAAAAATGATTGTCAATGCTTCTCAATCATCCACAGATCTATTTGACATCATGAAATTTTATGTAAACACGCAAATTTTAATATTATCTCTCTTGCTTATTCATTATTGATGATTATTTGAGTTACTGTTTTTAATATTTTTGAAAGATAATTTGAATGTACAGTAAATTTTTCAAGTCATATCAATTTCCGTTGGACGTTCTTAATAGTACTTCGTTAATGCTAATGTACGCGATTCGAGTCTCCTCGATTCGAAATTTTCGAATTAATCGGATCATAGGTTGCGTTCAGCGAAATAAGCGATCAATGAGCGATCAGTGATGATCTGTACTGATAGATCGCTTACTGTTGATCACTAAATTTAGATCAATTACGTTCACGAATTATTCAACAGTTGTACAGCTGTTGTGTTCGCTGAACGCAACCATAGGGATTCGTATTCGAATCGAATCAGGTGAGATTCTATTCGATTCGGATTCGAATAGTTCGCACATCTCTGCTCGCGGTGAGAAGCTCAAAGTGGGCAAGATTCATTATCACAAGTATTTGCAGTGTTCATTCGCTGCTGCGTCGGCAGACTCACTCACCTCTTCGGCGTCGTCATCATCATCATCATCATCATCGGGAACCATTTCTTCCTTGTATCTAAGACAACTTGTCTAGGAGGATTATGCGGCTGTTACGTACGAGAAATGTTTATTTCTATATCGTGTACACGCGGTAATTCCACAAAACATCAACATACCATAGAAATTACAACGAATACACGGCGCGTGCACCGCTTTTCTTCGTGCGTCGAATCTCGCACAAGTCTCGAAGCGGCATCGGCTCGAATTAGATTTGCGTCAGCGTGCGCGCTGGCAAAAATACAATAAACTTCTCTTAGTTAATTGACATTGCTCGGTGATATTTGTACCCCGATCGCGAGGCACGACAGGAAAGAAAGCGAGAGACCCCGTCGACAGATCCGTAAGAGATCGCATTCTCGGCGGGAATAACGTAGACCCGCGCAACGGCCTTGGGAATCTTTTCGAATGGTTTTCTGAAAGTCTTGTCCAGGTAGAACGGAAGATAACGTCAAAATGACATCGAATATTACACACTTAATAATATTCGAAAAATATTAGTTAACACGTTAGAAAAAAATAAGCGGTGTATAAATAAAAAAAGATAAATAAAAAATAAATACAAATAAAAAATTTATTTAAATATTTATATGCTATTCGTATGAAAATTTCTCTCTATTCTATCAAATTTCGTGGATATTTAACCAATTTAATAATTTTGATTAAAATATTTAATCCGCAAGTGTTGCAAATATTACAAAATGTTATTGCTGCATTACATTGTGAAAAATATTGTAGGTTGTACAATGATGTCCTAAAGAAATATCCTGAATTGAATTTGCCTAATTTTGAATAAAAATATCATTTTAAAATTTTATTCAGACAAAACCGTTATGGTAAATCATCTTAATGTCATTATTGCGAAATTTTCGTCAATTCGTGATACATTATCGTGCAATGTTACCATAGCTTGCCTATCGGGATACTTAAGATCGTCTTAAGTTCATCTCCAGGTACTATATGGATCGTCTCATTGGCTATAATGCATCTGAAGGTGAATTTGAGACGGTCTTGAATATAAAACCTGACTGTAGCCGGTATTCATATTCGGATGTTATATTTAAGACCGTCTTACGTTTATCTTCACATATTTCGTAGCCAATGAAATGAGCCGTACAGCATCTGAAAATAAACTTATCGCGGTCTTAAATATAAGATTCAACTATGAATATCCACCCATGCAGCACAGACGTCCTAAAGACGTCCTAAGGACATCCCTCGGATAAAATGTGCTATAGATTTTCTCATTTTGTTGACGTCACCGTGATTTTCCGTTCTACCTGGGCATCAGGTAGAACAGAAAAAAGCAATGACGTCAAGATGACGAGAGAATGGCAATGAAACTGATTTTTCGGTCATTTTGTCATCATTTTGCCGTCCCGTCATCTTCATTTTCCATTTTACCCGGGAGACCTCTCTGAACTCGGTACAACATTCTCAGCCGTAAAATAGCAGTGATCTTTATTGCGCTCTCACAAGCGGCGGTTACAACAACAAGTTTCACAGGTTCGCCCGGTTATCGATATACTCGTCGTCGTCGTCGGCGAACTTGATGCCGTCCTCGTTCTCGCGAATTAAATCGTAGAAAGTCGACTCGCGCGACTCCGTCTTCATGTCGCTCTCGACCCCGTAATCCGGGCTTTGGATCTCCTTCCTGGACAGGCTGATGTTCAGGTTGTCGGTGGTGAGTTTCTGCGTGGTCGCCGGCGAGCCGAGCCTCGGCCCCGAGAACTCGATCATCGGTATGTTCGTGCAGTCCGACAGTTGCCTGCCGGACTCGCGGGGTTGCGTGAACTGCGTGAAGTCCCGGTACTTGCCGGCCGTCACGTTCAGGTTCGACAGCAGGACATCCGAGCGGGGATCGTCCTTGGCACTTCGCAGGCCCCTGTCGAGCCGCTCCGTCGCGTTACCGTCCGTGTGACCGGGAGGCTTCGAGCTCGTCGTCGACCTGCCGGGGAATTTGTTCTCGTCCTTGAGGTAGCGCTTCTTATCCTCCTGCGAGGTATCCTTTATCTTTTGATTCAAATGCGACTTCGAGTTGGCGGGATCCTCCTGCTTCGACTTCTCCGGCTTGTCGTCCGACCTCGCCACGACGCCTTCGTTGATGTGCAAAAGGCTACCCGGCCGACTGCCGGCCCTCGTAGCCTCCTGATCCTGGCAGAGGTCAGATTTGCCGGCGTGCAGGCGGTTGGGAATAATGCATGGCGTTCTCTCGAGCGCGAGCTGGCTGCACAGGGACTCCTCGCTCACCCGGGTCCTGGAGTCCTCCAGGATCCGGTGGATCGGCAGCAGGCGTTCATTCAGCCGAGCCCTGCTCTCCCCGATGCTGTCCTCGGACACGGCGCTACCGCCCGACGACGAGTCGTTCTTGGACGACGACGAGGACGTCGAGTCCTGCCGGTTCTGCTCGAAGCCCAATCTGGCCTCCTCGGCGCCGGCGAGCTGCCGCATACGCTTGCGGTACTCGGCCGGCGTCAGGCTCGCGCCCTCGGTACTCTCCGGTAGATGGAACAACGCCGGGCTCGTCGTGCCTTGAAAATAATCCGGTCGATCCGCGGACGGACCTTCAGCATCCTCGGAGATCAACGGGGGAATCCATAGGAGAAAAGCGGGATCCATACCTAAGTAGGAGCCCGGCGCGGCGCCGGCGTTCGCGACGTTGTAATCGTAATAGTCCAGCTCCATGTCCGTCTCCGGATTCGTCAGACTGAACTCGGAGCCCGGGCCTTGGAGCAGTCGTTCGCGATTGCGACGGTCCTTCGTCTCCTTGCCGCTGCGCAAGGTCGACGCGCCCGATTGCGGACTGCTCGTCGACGAGTCCTGTCGGTGACCACGGTTATCGATTAGATCATAAGCTTGCAAGTTTCCTCCGTTAAAAAATTATCCCGTTCGGCAAAATTCTGCATTCCGTTAATTACTATAACTGTAGCGACGAGTGTTAAATCTCACCGACATTTCACCAGTTCAAACCTTTCTGCCCTCTCTTTAATCTTTTTAACCTTTAATCACTATTTTATTTCCGTTTTAATCTTTCCCATTTTCGTGTTTCTTACACATTGCAGCGCTCGAAATATATTACTGTTGCAGTTACGAGCGACGGCGTCTTAATTTCTAGTCTACACACGTAATCGGATTGAACGTCATCTACCTTGGACTGCAACGGATTAGACGCATAGCGATGAAGTCTTGCAATATGCGGACTGTCGTGGATGCCCGCTGTGCTTTGGCATCTCGTGTCGCCCGCTCGTGTCAGCTTGCTCGTCGCGGGACTGTCAGCTCCCAGAGTGCGTAACCTGCACAGTATGAGATGAATAATTGGAGATCTCTTGTAGAACACTCGATTTAATAAAAATGAAATTATTAGAAGTAATATCACGTGTCACGTGGTGACACCTGAAAACCTATTTCGTTCCTTTGTTTTTATATAGAAGCAGCAAATTTAATTATTAAAAAAAATTTTTTTATTTGTGATCAAGGTAGATTTTGGTCTAGATTTTGTTACTAAAATATAGTTTAGACTTTTGCCTTTCAGAAAATAATTTCTCCTGGTCACCACCCCTTACATACCCCCCAGCGGTAGATAAAAGGGAGAGATGGAATATAACTTTACAAAACACAGCTTTTAATTCATTGCCTCACCTTTTTAATTAATTAATTAAAAATATTAACAAGTAAAAAATTGAAAAACAATGATGAGGTATTGTTGCCAAAAATTTAAATCGTCGAAAATGATCATTCCCGTTATGGTATGATTCACCAGATGTACGCAATGTGTCACACAAAGTAGATGTTCCGACAATTTTTTCAAGGAAAACGGCTGATCGAAAAATCCTCATTTTAGAATTTTCGAGTTCCTTGGATCCCAATTAGCCTAAATCGGTACTTGAACCTCATGGATCTCAATATTTTTACAACACGTCCCGAAATGGGTCAACGTGGTTATAATCAAACATCGAACCGTTTACATCGACATTACATCGACATTACATCGAATCAGGTCAAATTACGTCATCTTCGCTGAACATGCCAAACTGATTACACTCACTTCACTGGCTGAGCATATTTTACTTCCGGCTGGCCAACTGCCATTATGGGCGACACTGTTCGCGGTGTTTCAGCAGCGTGCAGCTTATTCGGTATCACGTTTCTCTCGGTACAGCTCTCTTCGTTATCTTTGAACTTCAAGGTAGTCGAGCTCAGGCTAGTTTCGTCCTCGTATCTATAAAGTCAAGTAGATTTTACGATATGTAGATTGCGACAAAACCTTTAATGAATTGACGGTTCTCTCTCGTTGAAAGGAAAGCTCAAAAGAAATCAGAAATTAAAGTTCGTGTAGTCGAATATTAAAGTGTTCATTTTAATTGAAGCGCTAAGTTCATTTGCATATACACACGCATATAAAATTTTAATTAATCACAGCTTAATTTGAATACATTGTCTTGTTAATCAAAGTTTAATTCTTATTTAATTTTAAGTCTTCTATTTTTTCTGCCTTGATAAACTTGATGATGTCAGAGGCAATATGTGCAGAAAACATATGTTCAAAATTTTTGCGAAATACATCGAAATAAAAGGATATGTCCATAAAATGGCATATGTGATCGATTGAGCGAATTTACAAAATATCCAAAAACTTCCCTTTCCTTCTTGCTCGAATAATGATCTTAAATTATTTATACATACGTGTAAAATTTAGGGATATTATATCTAGATAACTAAATATATAAATTACATAATACTTATTAAATATAAATATTTCGCAAACATTTGTTTGGACATGCGTTTTCTCGGGTTTGACGTCATGAAACAAAACGACTAAAGTTAGGAGCCTGAGGGACCGGGGGCCTTAATTGTTGTAACATTGAGCGCAAGTCAGGCGCGAATTGTCACATACTCCGCCAGAGTTTCTGAACTATCGTAACCGTCCTCCACCGCGCAGGGGGCTAATTTGCGCTTCGACAGTCTTGGCGTGCACTTCCTCGGCAGTCCCACTAGAGACGCGACTTCCGAAATGAGTGTCGTAGAAGACATCGATTTCGCTCGTCCCACCATCGTGTGCATCGTGTCGCTGCATCCTGAATAACACACAAATTCTAACAACTACTCATCAATGCGCGTGGTTTCCCGACACGCGACGTTAATTCTTTATTATCGTAGAACATTCGCCCTAATAGAAATTGAATCTCGTCGAGATTTAGCTACGAGGTAGAACATTTATGTCTAACATTATTATTAGCCAGTAATGTAACGCTCACTCCTCCCAGTGGTTAAATAATAGCTAAGTGAATAAATCAGCTGATGGTTGAAGAAAGGAAATTACGAAATGAAAAATCTTAACTAACTGTTCGTTTGTTTACTCTATCACAAAAGACACATTTGTTTCAATTAACTTATTAAATCCAATGATTTAATCCATATTTTTCTCTGTATAGATTTTCCAGTGAATAATCTGCCAGCGACGAATTAGTAACGAGCTGGAAAATTTAATCTAGCTTGTACTAGCTAGATATTAGCTTCTGACTCAGGCTGGCCAGATTCACGGACATTTCTACGCGCGCGACCGACTCACCGGAATGCTCGCTCAGAGTGTCCAAGTCCTCCGCGATGTGGTACTTCCTGTATTTCAGCGCAAATTGCAATGCTAGAAAAATAGATATAAAGAATATGAGTATCAAAAGGGACGCTGTCGCCAGGTGTGCGGGGCCCCAGAAGAACCATTGTTCGACAGCGGGGGTGGTACTCGACTCCGACGGTAGCAACGCGGAGGTTTTGTTCTTCTCGTACAGCTTCTCTGGAAGGCGGATCGCCGGAGTTACTCGCACATGAAAGACTCGTTCTTACATTACTTGCGATTAAACGTCAATACTCGCGTCAATCAATGCCACTTACGGAACATACTTGCGTGACCCAGAAAACCACCCACGCAAGAGTCGCCCGAGGCAGTCAACCCGTCGCTGAAGAACTCGAGCAGCAGGTTTTGACCCGAGGAGAATATCGTTCCCGTCGGGGGCGTACTCTTGTCGAACGCGATGTCCGTCAAGAGGTCGGCGCTCAGCGAGTCGCCGTCGCGAGCGCGGAAGTATTGCCCCGGACACGGGAATTGCGTCTGATCCAGGTGCAGTCGGACCACGTAGTCCGACTTTGCCTGCGCAAATCGAGCGAATCTTTGTTAATGCAGTTCATTGTTGACCCAAAACCTAATCAGCCAGAACAGCATTGGTAATAATCGAATGTATCGTCGTTTACAAAAATTCGGAAAAATTATAAGTAAATTGGAAATAAATTTAATTAACAGTGTTTTAACATATTTTAAATTGATAAAATATTATTTTAATTTAAATTGTTCTAGGAGTAAATTATTAATTATTAATTAATTATTACTGTAAGTAAACTGGAATTAAGCCTGATAAAGTATATTTTTTTGCCTTAAATTACTCCAAGTAAATTAATTAATAATTATTCTAAATATGTTGCTAGTAAATTGGAAATAAATTCGGCTAAATGATTTTTTACTTGAAATTATTGCAAATAAATTATAATTATTAATTAATTCAAGTAAATTAGGTGTAAATTTAATACAACAATGTTTCTTTAAAACAGTACAGCGGGATATTAGGGCGAGATATTTGCATACCTGCAGTAACCAGAAGGAACGGCCGGGGCAGGCTTGAGTGTTCGCCGCCAGGATCCTGTTAAAAGTTTTCTCCTGAAAATTGATGATACAACCGCACCGGCACTGAACGCCAATTTGCGCCGTGACTTCCGGTCTCGCAGCCGCTAATGTCGTTCCGTGCCGGCACTCCCATCCCTCGGAGTTCCACGCCTCTTGGAAATCGATCCTGCCGCTGCCGCCGCACGATTCCGTCTCCACCGCTTTTCCCTGATTCATTTTATTTTGCGTTTTGTTTTGATTTTGCGCCTTCCATCTCGCGGTTTGCGTTTCGTCAATTTCACCGCGTCATGGGACCCACCTGGCAAAATTTCGCCCCGTACTTCGGGGGTGGCGTGTCGCAGAATCGATATCGATTGCGAATTCCGCCCACACAGGAGCTGCTGCAAGGACTCCACGCGCTCCAAGGACCCCAACCAGCCGCGTCGTTCTCTGTTTTAATAATTAATCATGAGAAGGGTGGAACGCACGACATGTCTGGAAAGTTGAGCACTCTCCCTCTTGACTCGGGGAATCTGAATTTCTTCAACGTATCCTCTCTCTCTCTCTCTCTCTCGCAATTGCTCAAAATCTCTGACAACATCTGCGTCTGAGAAATTTCATTCAGCGCGGTGTCTCCTTTTTCTATTAGAAATAGAATTTCAAGCGAAATAAAATATAAATAATTAAATTTAAATGAAATAAATTACATACAAATAGAAGATATTTTAAATAAAAAAAATATCAAAGTAAAAGATTGTACAATCAAAACTATAATAAACAATAAAAATAAGTTTATGCAAAGTTCGGTGATTAATTAAACACCTCAACACAGAATTGAACTCTTGCAGACACATAAGTTGGAACCATCTTCAGTCACTGTCGTAAATAATAATTGTTCGATTTTACAGTTTATAACGTGGCGCGCTACGTTATTCAGACCGTTCTTTATTTTTCGACCACTTGTGCTAGTTTAGCTCAGTTTTAGCGCAGTCCCAGTCCAAGAACAGAAAACAAACTCCCGGTGCCGCAGGGGTGATTGAATTCGCTGTTGACCCAAATCGATCGGCGGGATCGAGGAATCGCGGGGTTCATCGAGATGATAAAACTTGGCGCGGTCGCTCACATGGATCGCTCTATCTCGAGTGGCTGAGTTATGGGAGCGGTAAATCTACCGAGGGGTTGAGGGGGGTGAGGGAGGGAAGCGGTCGCTTTTAAACGAGCGCGTTTGCACGCCACTCACCCAGAAGCGGGAAGGTGGGTATGCACGCGAGCTTCACTTCCGCCATCGCGCCGGTGATCGCCTGGCTCACGTAGACGAAGCAGTACTCGATGAACTTCTCCGTGAAGATATCGCAGTCGAAGTTCAGCGAGTGTTTGCCGGGCGCCGCTTTCAGCTCCGCCACGTAGTGCAACGCGGACGGAGGCGCGAGGGAGCTCACGTCCGCCCGCAGACGGCCGTAGACGCGCACGCGATCGCCCTGAAGACGACACGCGGGGTACTGGAAGAGCACCGGTATGCCCGCCGATCCCTCGCACGGATAGACCGACCGCGCGTGCACGTTGAAGCTGAACTCCTCGGACCATTCCACCTGCGAGTGCGAAGGGACAGCCCTTTGTAAATTGGCTCGTTGTTCTGCGAATGCACGCGCACGCAGAAAAAAGTCTGGTCGCATTAACCAGAAAGAAAACAACGCGTTGGAGGAAGCAGAATTTCTGGTTCTTATGGCCCAAATGTGGCCTTACGACCGGAAATTCTGCCTTCCTTCGAAATGCATCTGGTTGTCCCGGTTGGTACGATCAAATTTTTACAATTTTCTTCGATTACATAAGTTTACAGAAAAAAAGGATTTTTTAAATACGTTTAATTCACGCTTAAGTTCCAATGATTCAAGGAGACGAGAATCAACGACTACCTTGATGTAGGCGCTCGTGGTCGGCGCGGAGGGGTTGACGTCGGATGCCTTCAGTCTGAGCGCGTAATTGCCGGCCAAGCCGAAAAATTCGCACTTCAGCTTGATGACCTTGGGCGAGGTGAAGCCGTTCACTTCTTCGTAGTAGAGCACCTGGTGGAGATCGGAGATTATGTGTGCGGGGAAATTAAAGAAGTTCGGCGAAGTTATCGCTTAGCGAACGGGGCAAAGTCACTGTCTTCCGTGCTCTTCTCTTCGCGCACTTGTTACTCGCTTCATGCGCCCGTTCGGCCGTATTAACACTTACTTGCGTGCGACTGTTGTTCTGTGGGTCGCATGCGGCCGCGGTGGTGCCGCAGTAAATGAGTTGCAAAATATAAGCCGCTACCGGAACGCCATTGGCAGGTACACACGAGATTCCATTGTACTTTATGGTCGCAACTACCGGCTGACTAGGATATGTACCGAAGTGTTGGGATTCCAGAAGCAGAGAAGGGGTTGGCCACTTTACGTCTAAGGCACTGCTCATCTGTGCGCGTTTCACTCGAGTTAGACCTTCCGATTTTTCATCGTGTCCGAGGGAGTCAAATTACATCGACGTAATTCATGTTTCACCATTGCTTGGAAACTTTGTTTGAAGGCTCTTCTTCGCCGCAGTCCTCTTGCTTGGTGACGAAACGAGAAAACGCGCGTCCAAAATACTTGCGGAGTACTAAATATTACTTTTGCGAAATATTATGGTATAATTGATTATAATAAATATTATAATCCCTTTTAAATAAATTTTTCTTTAACTCTACCTAACTAATGAATAAATTTATTATGGATCATAATTATTATTATGGTCTATAATTTATTGTAGTAATAAAACTCAATATAATAAATCATATTATAATATTATAATATTTTTTACATGTCCAGAATTAAATATTCATTTAGCGTGGAAGATTGATTCATCATGTGCATTTGAAAAATTTTACGGCTATTTATTGAGATTGTTAAAATAAAGAGAAATATTTCTCGGAATATTTTACAAATGTGCTCAATCGATCAGGATTCCGCGCGAATTTTGGTCATGAATTTTCTCGCTTCTGACGTCATTAATCGAGCTGGCTGCGGCGAAGGAACAGAAGCCTTAAAATTGTTTCGGTAATATTCTTTTCTTTCTTTCTTCCTCCTTTTCCTTTTCAATTCTGTGCACTAAGTTCCCGATGCGGTATGAATAATGCCCACCTCAATTTCAGGCAGCCCAGCAATGGCAGTGTGTCTGGCAGCCACCGTTGAGAACTTCTTGTACTGAAGTCGTAGCGTATAAACTCCGCCGCGCGAGAAGACACCACAGGGTATTATCACAGAAATATTCTCGCCCCTATGCGGCAAGGTATCCAGGGGGAAATCACCGATCAATTCCGACGTGAGGCCGTCGACGTATAGTGCTCTGAAATGAAGCGCGCCAACGAAGAGCGATGCTCAATTCAAATTCTAAACTCGTGCCGACGTATCTCGCGTCTGCGCGCGATTTGCGGGGAGGATATCCCGCTCTTTCCCTTCCGACGTTGAAATCTTTTTTTCACACGCTGTTCCTTTCATCCGGATCTCCAATAGGTATAAAGTAAGCCTTTAGCTTTATTGTAGCGTAAATTGTAATTTAAATTAACACAATTATAGTAATATAAATTGTAACTTATATTAACATAATTGTAACATAAATTATAACTTAAATTGTAATTTCTAGTAGAAAATTTTCAGGCCTACCAGACATTGTGATTTCTAAGATTTTTGCGTTATTTTGGCAACTTTTGGCAGGGTGGAAAACGCCTTTTGTTGCAAATTATATTACATTTTATTGCTTTTGTGGTAAAAGGCCAAAGGCTTACTATATTTATTGTAAATCCGGATTTAATCATCTCACGGGAAAAGAATCTCAGTTCTTGTAGCTGAATAGGTTCCAGATGAAAACCCGATGACAAGAAATGAAAACTCGGTGATAAGAAGTGGTATACGTGTTACTATAAGTGAAAATATTCGCGTGAACATTTAGCTACAGCTAAGAGCTCCATTCGAAAAAAAGGACAGCTTTATTTCAATCGGCGAAATTTGATTAAATCCAAAGAAATCTGTTTTTCTTCGCAGCGCGAGATCGTGTCTCGCGATCGCGGACAGTTAATCACGGAGCGGGGCGATACGTTACCCCATTCAGGTAGCGCTCGTTAACGCTAATTTATAAGGGCCTTAGAGGGATGCGTGTAGACGCTCGGGGGATGCCGTGAGGCTACGTGCGTGTTCGCATTTACGATTCTTTCAGCATACCTGAGCACGAGCGGCTCATGAACCGTAGTGGCTCTCCCCTCCTTCGGATCGATCTTCTTTTTCTCATCTTTTCTTGTGTCGTTTGTGACTGCGATGCTCGCGGCTGCCGTGGAGGATTCCGTCTCGAGCGAGTCCAAGATTAAAACGGTCACGTCGCCGGATAAAGCCGTGTGAGACGGGGGAGCGACTACTTTCAGCAGTATCGGCTCCTTCGCGTCTGTCATCGATCTCGCGATACCTGAAACCGGCGAACGCCCTGTGAAATCGCATCCGCATTCTCATTTAATGAACGCGCCTATCAATTCGTTTGCAATGGAAACACGCGAATGCAAAACGCAATGCTACGCTCTCGGCGGCCACGCTAGTTTCACTCGGCCGCACTTCCGTTAATTAATCCAATTACAAAGCGCGTCCGTCAAGTTCGCGAGCTTAGAAACGGGCTTAGAGGCGCGCGAACATTAAATTTAATCATCATTACCGCATCTCAGGAGGAGGATAATTAATAATCCCAGTGATGGCCGTGCGGATGTCCAACTCATGTCCAGCTCTTCATCGATGGCTGCCAGGGCCGAACCGAGATATTTCGGCGCCCCGGACAGGAATTCCGCGCCCCTATGATGCTGAGGGTGACAGAGGGGAGACGGTATTGAGAATTTCGGCCGGGTCGATCATGCTAAAAGTGCATCGGCATATTACAAGTAGCGTTTACGGCGATATCGCGGTCGCTTGATCGGCGCGCGGAATAAATCGGGACAAAGTGGAGCGTGCTGGGGAGATTACATTGAAATAAGCCGAAGTAAAACTGGGGAATAACCCAGATTACGTCACACGAGTCGGAACAACGAATGCGTTCTTGCAGAGAGCTCCTGAAATATTTTTAGCCCCGGCGATAAGCGTCGCGCATGCGATCGCGGCATTGTGCGCTCTGCAAAATGACATATCGTTCTTTGACCACGTTTCTAATTTCCAACGCTGAGAAAGACGTCTTTGAATAATTAACGGCAGCGCGAATCTCGCGTACGGAACGTCTCAATGGAGCCTTCCGGGTGAACTCTCAGACGGCAGAACGCGCGAGCCTACGTTAAAATTTTACGCTTTCTAATTTAATAAACGTATAGGTAGTAGTATTTCCATCAATATGCGGTTAAAATTTAATAGGATTCCTAAGAAAACGGTTTTACGGACCGATTACTTGGAAATCATCAAAACTTCGACTCGGGCGCGGCGGACGAATCGAGACGGACGGAGGAACAATTAATTCCGAATTAATTTCAATTATCAACGCGCAATCGTCGCGAGGGATAACGCGAGATAAGTATCGGTGACTTGGCGGTCTCCCTGAAATGCAAAGCGGAGTTGGTGGTGACATAATTTCGCTCCGGGCCGACGATCAAAGTCGCGTTTGGCGGCGTGAACGCGAAGGCTTTCGCGCCCCCGCTTCGCTTCTGAAAATCTGCAGCCCTGTATAATTGCACGTGTTGCACCCTCGTCGCCGTAGCCGACCCCGCGTCGCTTCTCGGAGGGAAATCGAAATCGGGCATCGTCCTTTCCGTCCGTATCGATCGGCCGCGTCCCCCGTGTGTGCACCGTTTCAGAAAACGCGCGTATACGTCGTGCGTCCGCGCGACCGCATCGGGGGATACGATTATATTTTCTTCCCTCTCTTTTCTCTCTCTTCCCCGTTTTTCTCTCTCACTATTTTAATTCCCTTTTTTCTTTTTTTTTTAACTAACACGCGAAGCTTAATGGATAACACGGATAACGCGTTCGCCGGCTTGCTGAATAATGCATTTAATGTAGAGAGTCATATTCCCTTCTCCTCCTCCCTCTCCATCCACCTGCCATCCATCGCACGCGTTTAGCGCGAATTACGGCGACAACCCGCGCGAACGCGAGCGTAGATCGCGGATTTTAATTGTGAGTACACTCTCGTGTTGCACATTGTCGCTATCGCGTGTCTCGGGTACTCTTACAGATGGTATTTCGTGTAAACGTTCCTTCGATTGAACACGGAAACAGAGATATCACGCATGAACATTATTTGTGGAAATTCCTATCTTCTCTTTCATCTCTCTCAGTATTTTATTCCGGAAAAACGCGCTCGAACGGTATATTCGTTACTCATTACTCACAGAGAAAGAATTAGCGGTAAGAGCTAAAATAAGGACAGCTAATGTCGTTACTACCACAACTAAATTGACTACACAGAAAAAAGATCAGTCCTAAATCAAGAATAGATATTCTCATGTATAAGCAAGAATATTATCATCTTCTTGGAAGATGTTTAATCTTGATTTGATTGCATTTGTATTGATGCAAATATTACTTGAATTCAACTAATTGTCAAGTTAAATTGTCAAGTTAATAAAAAAAATGACCGCAGATGTATTACAGTCATTAGTCGGGTATCAGCAGTCATAAGAAAGAACAGATCTTAAAGTGACGGTTGGTTCTGGCAAATTGTTGATGTTTGTCTGGAAAACGGGTATGCATCGGAACGGAGCAAACAAACACAATATATGTCCGTATGTCAAACAGCATTTGGGATCGCATCGATAAGAGGAATACAAACATCATTATGCAACTCGGTGTTTTACACTCGGTGTTTTATATCGTATCAATTCATATCGTATCGTATCAAAGGAACACAATAAAAGATCTAATGAAGATTTAATGTAGAACAAAATTTTATTTTAAACTAAAATTTCGACTTGGTTAATTTTTCCTCTGAGTGCACATGAGAGTTGCGAACAGCGTTATTTTTCACGCTCGCTAGTCAGATGCCTCGTCTTTAGCACCGAAGACACGGTCGTAGTGTGAGAAGCTAAGTTCTTCATTGTCGCTTACGTCCACCAAATATTTGCGCATATCTGTGAAAGACCTGACTGGTCTCTGCGGGGCGCCTTGAACCCCCCGGGGGATTCTTTTCAACGCGAAACAAAAATTGATCGGTGGACCCTTCCATAAATGCGCTCGTTAAAATCGGGGATTTCCCGTTGTCTGCGTCCCCTTGATAATTTACGAGAGACGCGCGACCTACGCGTGAACTTTCTCCTGGTCGAAATATCGAAGAACTACGGAAGAATACTCTCGCGAAACTATGCCGTTGCGGAAAAATATCTTTCGTAATTTTCTTCTACGGTTGTGATATCTGTCGGAATTGAGAGCAGAGATTTTGACATATCGTGCGCGTGTGCGTGTGTGTGTATGTGTATACAGAGAAAATAAGGAAGACTGGGGCGTATTGTCGCACTTTTTACATACCGTTTAAAAAAAGATACGTGCAATATTTCATAATATCATTTTTAGTTACACATTAATGTAACATATAAGAATAAACATTTCATTTGAGTCAACTTATCCGAACGGTCATTTTGAATAGAAGAGATTCTACTTCTAAACGTTGCTGCGATAACGGTTAAACTAAAGTTAGCTAATTTGGGAAAAACTAGCTAAAACTATCATATTGAGACTACAGAGAAATTGCGACTAGTAATTCCAAAACCAACGGAACGATAAAAATAGAGACAGGGAGAAATTTGCTCACGTCCAATTTTTACAAAATATTTTTCGTAAATATTACATGCAATGCGTTAGCCATGAAGCCATTTCGTACACTCAACTAACACGATATCAACAACCTACATTATGGAGGAGAATATGCTTCTTTATTTATTAAGTAAGATATAAGCTTTGTGACAACTAACCCATGTAACTTCTGACCCCGGTCCCCTACGCGATTTTCTTAACATTAACATCAGTTTCCTTACTTATCCGTCATGCACGGGGAAAAGAGATCGGGTGGATTAGCGCGACAGTGAACAAGCCTAACAACGCGTTTTCGTTGAAGGAAACCGAATATTTTATTTTCATCGCCGAATTTTGGCTTACAAAAGGCCAGAAATTCCTTCTTCTTCAATCAAAACGCGCTTAGTTCCTTTAATATCGTTATGATTTAACCAATCTTTTTTTTCCCTCGTGGCAAGTTGTTATCAGCATGCATAGTTCTTTTCAATTTGTCTCGCGTCGAATAACTTTGCGAGTGACTGACGATGAGGATGATAAATGATAGCCAGTGCACGTAACCCGCGTGTCGGAATGGCGTCGTATTCGGATCGATTATGCAATTGGAATAATAATTTCGATGTGCCGCATGCGAGACAGAGAATAACGACCGCGCACGGGGCGGACATGCGTTTCTTATCGGCGGAGGGCACGCGTGGTGATTAACATCGATATGTCGCGGAGATAAGAATCACCCCTCCGTCGGAAACGCGACGACGATTCGGGACCCATGTCGAGTGTCCCGAAATACTCGAAAAACTCAAATCGCGAGACACGCGCGGGATGTATAAATCGACCAAAGATTCGTCGATCTAGATCAATTCTTATCAAGTGCACCGTAAATAACTCTTCGAAACAACACAAAAACGCAAGAAATGTTCAAATGACGCTCTGCGTATATTAGGCACAAATTGGGAAAAAATGAATATATGTGAATTAAATATGAATTTTGTGTTTATGACTATGTAATCATATTATATATGTCCACGTGAAGAAAATGTTTTGTGAAAACAATTAAAATAATTACTTATGTTTATAGCAGTCCATGACGCCGACGTGTTATTGAATGAAACTATTCTTTTCTTTTTTTCATTCAACATCCTTTCCATACACACATACATATATACATATTAAAAGTTGATCTCATGTTTCGCCAAACATCCGAAACTCCTTAACACAAACGAGTGACGGTGAAGGAAGACAGTCGAAAGACGGTAGAAAAAGACTAAGATATTTTTCAAACAGATGTCAAACGTTGTCAGCGTACCTCGTTTACGTAATGGCTCTATCCCGACACGATCCGCATCTTCCCCGGCGCGACTAGCACCCCGCGGATCAGTCGCATAAGGAAGAATCGCAGAACGAGCACACAGTCGCCGCTTCTGCGAGCTGATCGATCTCGCCTTTCATCGATCCCACGCGCAGTAGCCGCGCTGACTACTACTACGACGACGATGACGACGACGACGGCGGTGTCAACAATCAGCCGTTTTGCCGACCGCGAGACGTCGGAAGGACGGCGAGGGCGCGCGACTACTCCGCCGGCGACCTTCTGGAATCGATATCGAGAGCCCGGCCGCACGCGAAATTGCCGGCTCGCCTATCCACGCCGTACAAACACCCTCGCGCGCATCCCCGCGCCGAGGGTCGCCCCCCCCCCCGGCAACCCTCCACGGACGCCGAAATTATCCCGCCGTCGAAGGAGAAAGAACGTCGGCGACAAGCTTATGGCAACTGCAGCGCCGGGAAGCTGACCTGATCGTTTTCACACTCGACCGCTCTTCTCTCTCTCTCTCTCTCTCTTTTTCACTTCTCTTTGCGAAAAAAAAGTAAATAACGAGAACTCTCTCCGTTCTCGATTTCTCTCGACGATGACGTTGAAACTTTGCGTTAAATTTTTGGGAACAGGTCTACAGCGGCGTGACCGCTCAGATTAACAGGTCCATAGGAATTCCCGAATTCCTCGAGGACCGTCGTCGGCTGGTAACAGGCTTAATGACACGCTGATGACAGGCTGATGACACTGCGACGATCAAACGATTGACCTCGCAAATGAAATCTTCATCTCCCTTCGCGACTTCCCGCGGAAGATATCATCCGGGTATCAGCGGTGCTCTTCGCTCTCGGGTCGTTGCGAGGGCTCCGGAGGAATCCGGCCGATGTTTCGGCTCGCTGAGCTCTTCGCGAGATCTTGCTCGCCGGCGAGGAATCCGGCGGAAACGCGCAACTGACAGCAACTGCGTCGGGACAACGCGCACATCGCGACTAAAGCCGGGGGCTCGCCGGCCACCCTTCTCGCCCTGTCGGCCTCGCACCGCCGCCCGCACCCCGGTCGTGCGTCGGGGTGCGCCTTGGGGGCGGGCATTATGACAGAAGGTTGGCTTCTATGAATGAATGCCCGATCTATACGGCGCCGTTGCGTGTTTTTGGTGCCAGGAAGACGGGGACGATTTGCCGGCGGGCTCGGCGATCCGATCGCGCCTCGTGGGACCTCCGGAACGGTCATTGGGACGCGATGGTGGAGGAGAGCTGCGCGAGGGTGGACGCCAGCAATATCGGCGCCTCTCGCGCGATCCTGAAGGGAGGACATCGCTGGTTTCGCACGAGAACGGCCGATGTTATTTCGCGCAAAGGCAGCGGGAGGGGGAGGATTACGCGTGTCTCGCGTGTCATATCCGGTCCTCCGTCCCTCCACGGTGCGATATCGAACGTTCCCCGAGATCTGGAGTAAATGAGAAAATAAGGCTCCGTGGCACACAGAAAAATAACATTCTATTGCTGAGAAAAACTAAGATTAACTCCGTTTGCTTTCCTTCTTTTAAGGATGCGTCGTCCGTAAGTCGGGATAATGAAAAATTTATGAAAAATTACAAGTTGATCTACATTGACAGTGATTTAGTGCTTAGCTCAATAGTTATTATTATTATACTTTAAAGGAGGTTGCAGGGTGAAGAAATGAGTTTGACAAGAATTCGATGAAACTTGCGAGAGCTAAGTTATTTGTAACTGAAGTTGACACTTTTTATATGTGTTCCTTGAGATTAGCGTGCTATTTTTAATTCATGATAATTTTTAATATCTTTTAAATTAAAAATAAGATCTCAATGAAAAACTATTATGGTATAAAAGACTAATATGCAGATATTATACACAAATTTCAGAATAATTGACCATTTCGTTTCAAATTAACATTTATTATTGCAAAACAAATGTATAGGAATAGAATTTCACTTGATACCCAGTTCGACATTTTAATTACAGTTATATAACATCAAATGTAACAATAACTTTACATCGATGTTATAATTTCGAATTCGTAATGTAACTACAATATATGCACATATACATATAGCAATATAGAAATATGTATTGAAATTTTATAGAAATATGTATAGAAATATGTATATATAGAATATATGTGCTATATTGCAGTTAGATTGTGAAGTACAAAATTATAACATCGATGTAAAACTATTGTCACTTTGAAGTTATATATACAGCTGCAATTAAACATGTCGACTGGATGAAAACTAAATTTATGAGTAGCTCCTTTGATGCGCCATTGAAAATACGGTACTAATGAGCGATACATCCTTAAAGCCTCATGACACAGAAAAATATACTTAAATACTTGAAACAAGTGTCATTTGCATGCAGCACGTACTTTTCCGTGTGTAAGCAGTAAGCAAATTGACCAACCACAGTCGATTTTTCTCCTTACGATTCGAGAATACTCGACTGTGGTTGGTCAATTTGCCTATTGCTCGCGTCTCGCCCCACTTAAGTTTTTGTGTGTGCACCATGGGCCTAAATGCTGAGAGGAGCTCTCGAAAGCTTTATTTACTCGCCGTCGTGAGAGAATACTGATTTATTCTCGATCGTTTTCGATACACGTATACGGAGAACGGGAGAGTTTACCCCGCGGGGGAGGAAATATTTCACCGGGCGTCGCGTGTTTTTCCTCCGACGGATCGGCAGATAACGAAACGATAATTATCGCGAGTAATGCGTCCTCAAACACAAGCGGGGCTTTGAGTGCTTAACTTCCCGGGGTGCTCGCCACTTCTCCGCACAGCCCTTCGCGGTGGTACGAGTCCAAAGAGAGAACGGAGAGGGTTGCCTCTGAAGGCATACTCAGCCAATTAAAACGGCAGCCGAGTCCCCGCGTTTCATTTTTCTTCTCTCTATCCCACACACACGCAAGCTGGAGATTCTCCTTTCTTCTTCTCTTTTCGGCTATTTATTGTCTATCCGCGAGCGAGTGTGCGAGGGTGGCGTTCTCTCTTCGCTTCTTCTTGCGCCTCGGCGGCGACGATAGTACAGCTTGAATAATCGATACTTGCAAGCACTTCTCCGCCGCTGCACGCACGGCCATCGGCGTCTGCGAAACCTAATTGCGCGCTGTTCCGAGAACAAAGGAATTGGCGGTCTTTATAACGAACAACAACTACAACAGGGCGAATACCCCTTTCTCGACGTGACGAACCCCCGTTCCCTTTTTTTTTTCGGCTGCAGATCCGCGCCTCCCGCGGCACGCTCGCAGTCAATTGCGGGAAACGAGTTGCACGTAAATAAAAAGAGACAGCGAGGAAGAAAGACAGAGAGAAAGAGAGAGAGAGAGAGAGAGAGAGAGAGAGAGAGGGCAGGGAGGGAGGAAGTTGGGGGAGAAATATTAGTCGAGGAAAGGGACCTCGGAAATGTTGAGCGGCGTTAATACTCGCAACAGGGAAATCTCCCTCTCCTTCTCTCCTTTTCTTTTACGCAAAAGTATACAGGAATATACGATTATTAATTGTTAATTAGATATGTATATCGTATCGACGGAAAGTGAATTAACATTTCCACCGGTTTTATTAGACTCGGACAGTGAGCGTTAACAATCGTGCACGACAGCAAAATAAATAATGGAACAGATACCGGGCTAATATTATTACAGAATTTATATATATATGCGTGAGAGATAAAATAGAAATAACGCTACGTATCTATACCATCCTTTTTACAATTTCACTGAGTCGCAATCGCCGAGTCCGATCGCGCGCGGGCGAAAATATAACGAAACATCCGCCACAAAAGCCGAAGACGCTCGAGGACGCGACGTTTCCTCGTGACGGCTTCGAATAAAACTAATGCGCGTGATACCGATCATTTGCAACATAAACGCGCGCTTGATCATCTCACAATAATATATAGAGGTATATTACTAAACGTAAACTCTCTTTTCGTGCTTCGAGACGATAAAGCGGGTGCCGGGCGACACAGTCGCGTGAAGAAAATTCATCTACAGACTGATACGCGCGCGCAAACGATGCGTCGATTAAAAATTGTCAAGTACGGAATGGAACTGACGATCCATGGATCTCCGGCTCGTCGGAATGAGCAATATATACTTGTATATACTATATATATGTATGTATATGTATATTGTGGGGCTCTCTTATATTTAAGTTACTCCCAGTCCCGCGACCAAGCTACGTATTTACATCGAAGCGTGAGAGAATATGGCGAGTTGAATCACGATGAAAATACTACGCGTTTCCGTATAAAAAAAGAAAACGGTGACTGCCGTTTGGTTATCACACATTCGTGGTTACTGACGTACCTCGCTCGTAGTAATTCACGTCGACGTCGAAGTCTTCTCTCGCGTCGTACTCGTTCACTCGCGCGTTCAGGAATTGACGCTAGCGGTCGTCAACTCCGAACGGCATTGTACAAATATATCCACGTTAATGGGGTTCACATGAAATATTAAAACGTCAAAGCGAACGCCAGGTATAACTGACAGTCGGGGAGAGTTTGCGGCTTACAACGGTATATAGACTTTTATCGACGACGTTACGTTTATCGGGGCGAGAAATTATCGTGGGAAATGCAGAAGTACGAAACGTGGAGCGTGTATTACACAAGACTCGCAGAAGGTCCGATAGTGTATCCCCAGATTTGGAGTAATAAAATGGAGTCTCAAGTTCTGAATTAAAAACATTGGAAAATTGAATTGTAATGGGATACGCAACGACTTTACTCTAAGGGTGCGTTCTGAAATGTGCTGACAATAACCGACGGTTGTTGCTGAAATCAGCGTATTTCAGCCGTTCCGAGATTGCTGGCAGACTGTGGTAGCGCTGCAAATTGGAACGCATTTGCAGTATCATGCGGTATTAGCAGACAACGTACGTTCATGATATAACCGAACTTAAAGTGTGAAGAATGAATTATGGTCAATTTAAAAACAATTTTAACTGATGCATAATTATATGCATATTGTTGTAAATTTTATTGAAAATGATTTTCACATTTTCAAAGTTCATCATCAGATGATGAAAACACTTTAATCAAATGTTTTAATACACATATTAGTGACAAAACGAGGGTTATTGGTATTAAGGCGTGAAAAATAACATTGAGCGGTAGTCTTTCCTTCAGATGAAGCATTTAAAAAACATTTAAACAGCCAATCATATGCAATATTAAACTTGCATCTTGGGACGTGCGAAATCAGTCGGGAGTCAGCAGTTCCTCAGGACTTACTTTCGCCAAAAAGGCAGTACGTTTTACTACGCTGCAGCATATTGATCTGTCAGCACATTTCGAAACGCAACCTAAATAGCCGCGTCTTCCTCGACGGTGGTTCTCTTTTTCAAGAGTCCCGGCTGGATTCCTCTGCGCGAGACAAACCTCCGTACAAAGTATACGTTAAAAATGTTCATCGCCAGTCCGATGCGTGTGTGTGTGCGATTCTGCAATCTTTGATTGCCGATATCGATATAAAAGACGATCCGTCTCTTGGCGATTCGTTAACATTCATCACGACTGGACTTTCATCTCCTCGACGAAACCACCAGTGGGAAATCGCAATCGAGCGAATTAACTTAGCAAGTCCATGATATCTTGCGTGGACGAGTTCGGCTTATTCGCGGCCTGCGTACTGCCCGGCGACATGAAAGGCTGCATCGATCCGGGGAAGTTCAAGCTGGGCTTAATCTCCGGCTGCGTTGCGAACTTCGCCTGGCCCTCCCATTGCGAATACACGACGTTATTCTGCGGAGCGACCGGATTCCACATCGACGCGGACTGATCCGCGTTCCAGCTCATGGGCGCGTTGATTCCGTTGGAGTTCCAATTCATCGGTCTACCCGTCTGCATGGTCTGCGAGCTCAGCGTCGGAGACGTCAGGAATTGCGTCTGCGTCTGATTGATATTGTTGTTCTTGTTCCAGGACAGAGCCGCGGTGTTCTTGGCCGTGTAATCCGGCTGCGACATGCTGGGTCTCGACATGGACAGGTTCAGCTCGTCCAGATTGTTTTTCAGAAGAGTCGCCGTTAGATCCTTCGGCTGCGGCTTGGCGGGCTGCGACACCGCTTTGGGGGTCAATATGGACTGAGATTGCAACCTCTGGTGGGCTTCCTGCTGTTGAATCAATCTAGAAATGGAACGACCATTCACACGCTGATCACATCGCGTCGGGGTTGGATAAGTTCATTTTTATTTTTAACTGAGTTAAAAGTTGTCTAAACAAAAACCAACTTAATTAAAGGTAAAGTTAAAGTTAAATTAATTTATTGAGGTTAAAGAGTAATTTTGCAAAACCATGTGTATTCAATTTACGTGAAATATAATGAGAAAATAATCTATTGCAAGAGAATATCGAATATTTTTTGTGCTCAGAATTTGATAGAAAGAACGCTAGCGCTCACAGAGACGAAAGAAATTCTGCTGACATTATTTTTTATTTTTCTCACTTCCTACCATAAGCAGCTCGCAGTGATTTTAATATCGATGAATAATTTTAACTTATAAGAAAAAGTTAATGCATATTAAGTAACTAAGTAAAAAGTTAGTTTATTTAAAATTAACTAAGTTAAATTAAAAGCTACCGACTTTTAAAACTTAGCTTGTAAGTAATTATTATTCAACTCTGCATCGCGTGAACTAAAACGTAAAGTTTGTAGAAACCCGCGAAAACACACCTGAACTTGTCCTCCATGGTTAATCCGTTTTCGATGTTTACAGTTTTAAGATTAGCGTTCGCGGACGGCTTCTCCGGCGTTAGATTAATGTCGCTCAAGCTAGTGTTCTGCATGAAAGCGGGCGACGTCGCTTGGGAGAGCGCCTGGTCGAACTGCTGCGTCTCGCGACGCACCGCGTCCAATTGCCGCAACGCTTCTCGATGTTCGCTGGTCACTCGATTAATCATGTCGACCACCAGACTCGAAAGCGTCTCGTACTGAGGCATACTGAGATTTTGCTCTATGCAGAGAGGCAGCAGGAACGGTAATACCTTCGTCGCCAATATCTCTTTGCTCATACCCAACTTGCTGTGAGTAAGCAGCATCCTGTAAATGCCTGACGACACACAAAAAAAGATATTTCCATCAATATCCAAGAAGAAGACATATCTCAAAGCAAATTTAATTATTTTAATCGGATATATTTTTAAGTAATTTAAATTCATCTTAAAATAAATACTTTATAAATTAGAAATATTAATAAATAATAAGAGTTATTATATATTAACGAACTTCTTATTCATAAAATATTTATTTTAAGATAAATTTAAATTACTTAAGGATATGTGTGATTGAAGTAATTAAATTTACTTTAAGATAGCCTATGTCTCTGGCTTGCTTTGCCTGTGATAGGCCTAAGCCATATAACTGCACACTCAATCATGTATAATAAGATGGCTTTTAGTTCTGTGTCATAAAGGAATCTGTTTCCCGTTAAATAAATAAATAATAATTAATAATAAAATATAATTAATAAATAAACATATAAAGTAAATTTTATACAGGATAAAAGCTATGCACGTAACGAAAATTACCTATAATGGCCATCAAAATGGCTGGTTCGCCGGAATGAGGAACTTCCTGCAGAAACGGTAATATCTGATCGAACACCAGCCAGCGATCGAAGCTTGGCAACATCTTCGCAAGGCACAGCAAGCAGCTGACGCGAACACCAAGACTGCTGGTCTTCTTCCCTGGCGACAAGCATATTTTCTTCATTCGCGGCAATATGGCGTTCTTAATCACTGGTCCCTCGATCATCGTCACTATATTTGGCAATGCTGACAAGCAAAGTTCCTGGAGCTGTTCCCATTCGGATTCCAATGCACGCAGCAGCATAGGCACTATGTCGGTCTTAATGACGTCCGTAGGGCACAGCTTAAGCAGTAGATTGACTTGCTGCATGAGAACCAAGCTGATCTGGGAGAAAAATCGACATATACTCTTCTGTCACTTTGCTTTCATATTTTATAAAAAGACATATAAAAGTGAAAATAATAAGGATTACATATATTTCTTTATTTCATCGACGTTACATCAACGTCAGGAAAGGTTACCACAGAAAATTAATTTTGAAATTTCTTGACTTTTCCAGACGATAGTGAAGAATTTTCCATAAACAATATGTAATTTTAAATTTTAATATTTAGAAGGGATTGCAGAAAAGTAACTTATTAAAAGCAATACAAATAAAAAAATTAAGTAACATAATTCTGAACGCAAGTTGAGATCAATGAAATATAAACGAGTATTGGAAAAAAGAATGTAGTTATGACGGGAAAGGGCGATTGATTAAAAACGCTGAATAAAATTGACCAATCACATTCGATCATTCTCTTTACATTCGAGGAATAATCGACCGTGATTCGTCACTTTCCTTACTGCTTAAGTTTTTCTACGTGCCACGGCCCTAACATGTAAGAAATGATTGGTAAAATGCGCAAGTTTTGAACGCATTTGACTATAAATAACATAAAAAAATAAAAGTTAGATATAATATAAAAAAAAATTATAAATACCCTTTATATAAAATAAGAATATTTAAGAGAATTGTGAGCGAAGTTCAAAATTCCAGGCTCTTTTATATCTTTCCTTGTTTACCCCGGCCAATTTAAATTTCCATGACTTTTCCCCGTTCAAGTTCTGCGATTTTGGTTTGTCCATAGTTTTCCAACCTTGATGGGAGCGCGCGCTTACTTGTGGCGGATCTTCCAAAGCAAGAACAGGTTTCAAGCTGGGAAGGATATGTTCCCGAAATTCCTCCACTTCGGTAACCTCCATCACCTGCAGTATACTCGGCAATACGAATGGTATCATAGGTGGATTAACCAACTCCTTGTAGAGTGCGGGCAATACTCTGTGCAGTACGACTCTGTGGGGCAATTGCTTCAGGAGCTGCGGGAGTCCCTTGTAAAATTGCGACTTTTGGAGATTATCCCATTGGAACAATTTGTCCAAGTAATTCAGCGTCTTAACGCCGATGTCGGTGAAATATTCGATCTGCAATATTTCGATAGAAATTCAGTCGGTGGGTATCATCGGTCATTCTTCTCTCTCTCACTTTCGATCAGAGTTCTTCCCAGATATCGCTTCGAGAGAAAACTACCTTTATAAACTGATGGGCGTCTAATCTGAGTTCCGGACTGTGGCTCAGCATGAGCTTCACAGTGTCCCTGAGAGTCTCGGGAACTGGGAGCAGCTTCGCTGAGACGTTGGATCCCTTGAGACTCTCGAGGAAACGTCGACACTTCCCCAAGTCGCCGTGAGATTCGTAAAGTGTCTGATGTTCCGAGGAGTGTATCACGTATATTAGCATGCCCAGAGCAAAAATATCGCTCGGGGGTCCGTTGCTGCTCGCTAATATGCATTCAGGTGCCTGATAATTTAGGTGAGGTTGGACAACAGGAGGGAGTGTAGGGTCATATTCCAGATATGACCATGATGGCTACAATTAAGCAAATGCAACTTACATAAATACAAAATGCAGTAATTGAGTCAATATATCAGATGATTGAACAATTTATGAATCTGTCCTTAGTTGTTCCCTTTTATAGAATCTCTTTTGTAAGAATAAAATAACTCTACGTGTAGTTTTACCAATGGACAATTGATTGCCAGTCACTGAGATGTGTTGACATGGCTGGCAAACAGATGCCTTATCAGTTAATAGCCTTCACATACCTGCTTGCTATCTGAACTTTGATTTAAGGCACAGAAGTCAAAGCCAAATATCTTCCACGCTCCGTGAACATTAATAACTATTGATTCTGGACACAAATTTCTATGAAGCAGCTTCACATCGCCATGCAAAAATGCCAGACCTTCTCCTAACTGCAATAATCCATAGCGTATTTCTATGTCATGCAGCTTGTAATCTCTTAAGTTTGCTGGGGTTGGTTGAGGTATATTCTCATGATTACCTAAAATGTCCCCTAAATATTAGTCATATGATATCAACAGGATACAGATTACAGATGAATTCAATTTAACTTCAATAATAGTACATATACATATAGTACAAATGTTCAAAAAGTATCCTAGAGACATTTTGGAGATGGATCTGAAACATTTCTGAGACATCTCTAGAATATCTTTTGAACGTTTGTACTATATGGATAAACAATTAACTTGTAGCATCAAGTTTGGAGAAGGGTTTACTTACCTAATACATTAGCCAGACTAGCAAACACTGGTTCAGTCGCAAATGCGAGGCTGTCCCTCGATTCCTCCAGCGGATGTTGCACCGTCAAAACCTGCGGATGCCTCAGTTTCGTCAACTGCGTTACACCGCGCTTTAGAGTCTCCAGCACGAGTTCCCGATCCGCCTTGGCGGACCATCTCTCCAGCATGCGCTTTTCAAAAACAAAAATCGCGGCTTCTTGCTTGGTGGACTTCTTGTAACCGCTGTAGACCTTCCATAGCAAGCCCGGGCCGGCGCTCGCCACATGAGCGGTCGCTTCGAACTCCCGGGTCACGGGATTGCCAGGCAAAACGCTGGACAGCTGCGACAGACCGTACGCTGTGTTCTGAACCGTATTACTGATAGTGTTGCTGACCGTGTTTCGTAGCTTGTTCAGAACATCCATCCTGTCAGTTGTCACACGACGACGATGTCTCCATGAAAAGCCACGCGCGTATCAAGCGTCGGTTGCGATTATCCTATCGACGACGGACGAGGCGCCCCACCTGAATATGCGAGTATTCCTCTGGACGAATGTCACTTCAACGAGTGTCACCGCGAGCCACCGTCGTTATCGTCATGAATCAGAGGTGGGCGATCACTCCGCGATTATCAGTGACCGATCCGCCATTTTTCCGAAATACTTCCGAAGTCTCCGCTACGAGCCACCACCGTTCCCGTTAAGTCGGACCGATAAAAGTCAGAATCCACTTGATACCGCAAATGCTGCGACGCGCCAAATATCCAATCAGAGGCCACTTCACTTGGCGCTTCGAAGCGTTCGTAGTGGCGACGAGTGGATACTACTCGTAGCACGATTCCGCGATGAGTCGGACGGATCTCTTATCATCGAGTAACGTGACTCTCAGCGGTGAGCGAAAAGACTTTTTGTATTCTTAGAGCATCGTCAGACCACGAACGACGCGGAAATGCGGTTAACCCGGCTCGTCTGGCAACGTTGATAAGAGTGCGTCCAGCAAAGTGTTTTCGAGCATCGTTGCGTGTCATCGGCGGTCGAGCGAATTAACCTCGGGTCGACTGACATCTACAGTCAGGGATATCTGAAACTACGAATGAATGGCGTACGATTACGTTTGTTGAGGCGTTGATCCGCGTAGAGACGAGTACCGCTCGCATTTAGACATCCCGAAACGGACCGCGTCCTCTCGGTGACGTGACGATGAACGATGGTTAAAGGGACACGTACGCTCTTCTCGGGTATTTCTTCCAGGTGCGTCCGTGCTCTCACGGATCACGAATGATGCACACACGCGCTCCTAAGCGGATTAATTGATTAACGCTTGCTTTTTGAATTGCAGCATATTACATCACTGCAGCGTTGCACATCGGGCTGCACACTGTCGCCTGAGTGTTTTAATTCTGCGCTGAGGATTAAGTTCCTGCGAGCTACCAACATGTCCGCTACAGTGAATTTAAAATACACCTGTGTAAACGATCTCATACAAGCGGCTAAGGTTGACTATATGAAGAAGGAGCCACGCGATGTATGCCTGAGATTGACTGGTATGAGACAGAAATCTGATGCTGCCAAGAAAGAAGGAGACGACGAGACTGCGTATATTATGTTGAAGAGATGGTTGGACACAGTCGAGTGGCTGAAGAGGCATAGGGATTACAAGGATGGCAAGATGACTTATTCTCCGAATATAACTGTCGATCAGGTACAAAGTATACGTTGTGCTATGGCGATCAGCCGAATACTTGTGTTCTGTATAGACTGCGAAATATATAAACCGATGTTTATACATTCTAGATAAATGAAGTGAGAAACGTACTTGCAGACTTGAGGCAAAAGTTACAGTTACGCTATGATCATTCCAAGAAGTCATCTCGCAAAGATACGATAGAACAGATGGAAATAGAAGTGGACGGTGTGGAAGCCACAGAGGCCTATACGCCAAGTACAGACATTGGTTTGAAATTACCTGAGACCCCAACCGACGATCCTATATATGGCGACAAATTTATATCATGCGATCAGTTGTATTCGTTAATTAAAATAGACGGTAGATGCTTGGTCATTGACATCAGGCAGAAGGATCAGTATGAAAGCTCCAGAATATTGTCCGAGAAATGCATCAACATTCCACAATCGGAAATCGAATTAGGGTAAGCAAATGATTTTGTACGGTAGCTTTCCATACTTTTGTATTTTGTGACTTTACTAAGGATGTTTCTCTCGAGTCTGGGTAGAATTTTGTCAGAATGCAAGTGTCACGACATCTGAAATGCTGTTCATGATGCATTCGCTTTCAGAAAACTGGCCAGTCATTTGTTAAAATATCTCCATAAAGATAATAAGCGTTCGTTCCAATTATTCAAGGAACGATCTGCACAGTACGTGGACGTTGTGATCTTGTTGGATTGGAACACTACACAGGAGACTCTGACGCCCGCCAATAGGTTGAATACATTGATGACCATTTTAGAGAAATGGGACCCTGGCGTGAGGTACAAGAAGATCACGATTCTCAACGGAGGATACCAGGAATGGCTGGCGAGGTATCCGGCGTTCGCGACGAATCCAAAGGTGATAGTGTCCGAGTTGGACAGCGTGGCGAACGAGATCCTGGACACGATCGAGTATCCGGAGTGGCTGAACTCTGACGAGGATGACGAGCTGAAGAAGTCGCGCAAATTGAACAACGCGAAAGTCTTCAACAAGAACAACACGGACGTGGAGATGATTCACGGCAACAACAAGTCGGCGCCCAAGCACGCCAGGTCGAACAGCAACGACGCCGTTACCACGGTTAAGCCTAAGAACTTCACTAGTCACGTAACGATATCAATCGACGGCAAACGGTCATCCCGGGGCGACAACGTGATGAACGGGCAGCGAATCAACAGTCCGGACTCGTTACCTCAGCACAAGACAATGTCGAATAAGTTGCCGCAAAACGAGGTGAACGCGAAACCGGTGATCGATCGCAGCAATAAGCCGGTTACCCTCAAGCCGACGTACGATCCGCGGTGTAAGGAGGTGCTCAGGTTCATGAAGGACCTGCACGATCTGACCAAGTCGAAGATAAAACTGGCGAACGAGCTCTTTGACCACGAGTACCAGCTGTGCGCGCAGCGCGACGACAAGTACCGGGACATCAACGATGAGAAGTATCTGCAAAAGGAGATCAAATCTCTGAAGGTCAAACTGGAGGACATGGTAAGTTCGCGTGAGTTCGATCGGGTTTTGCGTCTCGGGTCGGCTCGTGATAATTCCGTGTGTGTTGCAGCACGAGATGTACCTCAAGATCGAGAACGAGTTTAACGAGTACAGCAAGGAGCAGGGTGCGATCAAGTTTAATCTCTCCGATGACAATGAGAAGAAGAATCTTGAGCTTAATCTGTCCATGATGAAAACGGAGATCAAGAGCATCGAGAACAAGCGAAAGAAGCTGCAGGAGTACGTATATATTGGGTTGATGTAACAGTTCGTTTCGTTCCTCAATACTTATAACTCAGGGTATTTGTTACTACTTGGAAAAACTTGGGTATTTATTTACTTGAAAATATCACCAGCCAATTAAATAGGCGTCGTTTTGTTCGATGACCTGCCATCTTTCTCTTGTAGCTGCACGATCCTACGTCCGTAAAAATTCTAAGACTTCTGAGCGAAGATTTGATTAAAAAACAGAACGAACTTTTGCATCAAGCCAACTTTCACTTCAAGTTGGTGCGCGGACTTTGATGCGCGCGTTTCTGAATTTCTCCGGATAACTCATCGGTCAAGCTTGTGACAACGTCGTGTTACACGTCGCGTTCTTGCAGGGAATTCATGGAGAGAGAGCACAGGGAGGTGTCGATGAGGCAGAACGACAATGACATTCACAAGGAGCCGTTGAAAACGGACGGCTCGTCCATTAACACCGGCCTGGAGCGTTCTTACTCGAGCCCGAACTTGCTGCAGGTACGCACGGTCCCGCGGTTACTCTCGTTGACCGGTCCAGTTTTCTTTTGTTTAATCTATTTACAATGGCAAAACTCATAATTACCCACGAACGTTTCTGCGTAATTCCATTAGTTGGGGGATCGTAAAGCACCTCAGGTAGATAGAACTTCTAAGCCGCATATATCGCCTCGCAATCAGAATGGATCTATTGGGAATGAAAACGTCAAAGTGTCTCTTAGTTGGGGAAATCGGGAGGAACGAATGACGCCTATTCACGGCAATGTTGTAAGTACTCAATTCGGACAAAGATTGTGCGCGGGCGCTTTACCGGCTAGGCCGACCGCGGGCTTACAGAGATGATCTCGCAGCTTCCGCTTTCACTGTCGCGAGCATCGGAGGTCCGTCTTTCATGATTATTAATCGTAATTAATCACACATATGGTGTCGGGTTCTCAATCTTCCGTTTCATGTAACGCTTGGCATTGATCGCGTGCGAATGATTCCGGACTGCAAGTGATATATAATAACGGCATGACAATAGTACCGTAATCTAACAATGAGGGGGATATTAAAGAAAGTACTATTCACCGTTACGACGCAGTATTTCAAGTACTTGGAGATAGAGGTATTCATAGTCAAATCTCGTACTTAAGGTCGTCTCAAGACGTTCATCTTCAGATATCGTACGGATTGTTTCAGATAACACAGTTATGCAACCTTTGAGCGATTATCGCCTTTGATCGAGGTATTCTTTTAGATTCATGAGTCCTGGCCCACAATCTTACTGTAAGTCGTAAGCCACAAGAAGTTGACCAATCACAATCGATTATTCTTCTCACATTCGACTGGTCAATTTCTTACGATTTACGGCTTAAAGAAAAATTGTGGATCAGGGCTGATGAATCTAAAAGAATATTCCGATGACAATGAGCTAACTGTTGTGTTTCCTGAACGCAGCTTATAGCTCTACAGTGTATGTGAAGATGAATTTAAGGGGGGTATGTAATCAAAAATGTTGTGACATACAGTCCATCCAAATTATTGCTTTAACAAGGTAAAAATGTTAAGAAGTGCTATATTAATAAGATGAATATGTTAATTTAACATATATTTGTGTATGCAAAGAAGTGTTAGATTCGAGTAAATAATTACTCCAATACTTCTTAGTTCAAATTTTTGCTTCGTTTAAATCATTTTACTTGGATAATTTATTTGGAAAATATTTTATTTGGATCAATTGAATATTACTTGATTCAAATAAAACTTTACTAAAGAATATAGAAGTAATTATTTACTTGAATCTAGCACTTTTTTTCTGTGTACTTTTTAACATGTTCCCCTACTGAGGTACTTTTTAACATGTTTCCCCTTACTGAGTAACACAAAAATCTCGGTGAACTGTTTTGAACACAAAATTTTTTATTTTTTAAGAAAGAAATTTGAACTCGCGAGATACCAATAAAATTCAACTCGTTACCTCGGTCATAGGAATTAATTGAATGCAAAATCCTTCATTGACGGTCTTAAATATATCTTAAATATAAGATCTGACTATATGAATATTATAGTTGTGAGGAAACGATTTTACGTATACACTGTTTCTGTTTCAACTCTGTTTCCGTTCTTCCTTTTTTTCTTGTAGTTTCGTTCTATTGGGTATGGGAATAAGTTTCCCATTATGGAGAGATGTCGTAGTAGCACTGCTTGTGTGATTGTTAAAACGGCATTCAGTTTCAGTTCAGATTCAGTTAAGATTCATTTCTTATAAAGGTATCAAAAAAGGTTCAAAAAATGGCTAGAAGAATGGATCGCTTCAAAAGAATAAGATTTCTTCCTTCGAGCAATCCGTTTATTACCTAAAAGGTGGGAGAAAGTTGTCGCTTTCGATGGAGCGTACTTTGAATAACACTTTGTATTGTTTTGTTTAAATAAATACCTCTTTTTCATTAAGAAAGGGTGGAAACTTATTCCCATACCCAATATTATTTCTGGAATGCGGGAGTCAATAATCATTTTCTCTCATCCACCTTCTCTCTTACTCTTCTCTTCCATTTTATTTTCACGTAGACATATATCGAAAGAAGATTCGTATCGATCCGTACAGTTACTACAAGTAGAGTTTCATCCGGGAAGCATGTCGAAAAATTTGTTTGTTTGGATTATTCCGATAAAAATGGTGTTTTTTTAAACACCATTCCAGCGGTTTGAACAGGTCAGATGAATATAATGGTGTCGCCACACTACAAGCCGCCACGAGGGTACAGGCAAAGAACGGCCGGTCAAGACACGATGTGTTCCACGATTTTCGCACAGAGTTGCGAGGAAGCGATGAAATTCCGTGATCTCTGGTGCACGCGCTCCATCGTCACGTTGTGCCATATTGTACAAAGGTGATATGCGCACTTGTGTGGCGTAGAGTGCGACTCAACACACGCGGGGTTTCTCAATCCTATCCGTAGACGAACTTCCACCGATTACCACCGCAGTACACGTGCAAGTGTTCGTGCAACATTTGACGCGTGGTCGTTCGCCGGATCCGGGAATATCGGGAGTATCTAACCGCTCGCGAGATTTTTATCCTCACAAAGCTGCAAAGAGACGTATTTCGATCGAAGAGAGGGGCGTTAGTCGCCCGACAGAAGGGGAGAAAACGATCGGTCTGAAATAATATTGCATTTCTTACATATTTTAATATTACGATATTTGTTCAGTGCTCGATTCTCGGCCGCTTATCGATTTGTATATTGGCAACGATAGAATGTTCGCTCGCAAGCTGATGCGCGATAATACAGTCAAGCACGCGCACGAGTACAGTACTTATTATCTCGTGATAAAATAATACCTCGACGCGGGGCGGCGAAAATGGCTAAACGATGGTGAATCTTCAGAGGAAATTCACTCCGCTGCAATTGTTTCATTATTTCAGAAAGGTGGGGTTTTAGATCATATTTCTGAGATGGTGGGTCTCATACTAAGCTGATAATGCGAAACTATGGCCGGTATTCATAGTCAGATCTTAAGACTGTTTTAAGTTCGCCTTAAGATACTGTTCGGGTCGTTTCATTAATTACAGCGCATCTGAAGATGAATTTAAAACGGTCTTAAATATAAGATCTGACTATAAATATCGGCCTATGAGAGACGAAAGAAACGTACATCATTGACATATCGACAGACGCGATAAAAAAATTATTTATTATATTAAAAATATTTATGTGTGATTATGATTAAAATAGAAAATTATATAGATCCGACTATGTCGGAATTACTTCTCACGTGGAGCCGACGATCTGACGAATATTAAACTCGCAAAATCCCGCGACCGTTCGAACGCCCGGCGCGTTTCATCGGGAAAGCGGCTGAACGGTAAACGGTAGGCTGGTCTTCGTAGATATGTCGAAGCGAGTGCGTTCTAAGGTTTGATTGACCATCGCGTGTCGATGTAAATAGATCGATAATCCCCCTCGCTCTTAATTACGTTACGCGGAAAGTAGATCGCGCAGTCCGCGACTGAGCGAATTTCGCTCTTTGGGGAAGGTTCGACGCGCAGTCATTGCCGCGTCGTGTCCGGAGATTCGGCGTTTTAATTCCAACGATCGCATGTCGTACAGTGTAACGTAGGGTTTGTTTTCTATTCCTGCACTGGGATTGCAGTGAACTGAACTAGTGCGAGCCGGAACTGACGTGAGTGTAAACGTGCAGAGCAAGGAGTAAAGAACGTTTTAGTGCAAGAATAACACGGCGCATCACATTTGCACATCTAATACCCGTTTCTACCATCACGATTTGAATCTAATCGATGGTTAACTCCATGGAATCGACCAATGATGACCGTATAGTAAACGTCTCAAAGTGTAAACTTTCAAAATAGAAGTGATGGACTTCGGTCATTTAGGTGTATTGCTTCGCACGTCCATACGTATCGTGAATATTGGTATGAAAGTACAATAATTTTGACTAACGATAAACAACTAACGATATAGGCTAGTTGATGTTTCTTGCATTCTTGCATTCTTACTCGAAAATGTTATTTCGATTGCCCTTGTATCGCTTGCATCGGCTCCAGATCTAAGGTCCGTTTTCTTGAATAAAGACTGCACTAGAATTTCGTTCCTTTTTCCTTCAACGCTAACTTATATGTTTGTCTCATTCTAACGGTAAAAAGTGCCTAGGAACAGAAAACAGACCTCTAGTACAGTCAGTTCAGCGAACTATTCTGAATTCTGCTGTTCTGGAAGAGTTTTAGTAGAATGACTGACTTCTATTTTTAAGACAATGTCTTATGCAATCAATCTTTGTTTAATTTATCATTTTTCACTTTTTTACATTATACATACCTTTTATATTATACAGTGGCTAATTATTATTTATAAATAGAACGTCCTTTTAGTCGAAGACTCAAGATACAAGATAGTCATTGGGTGTTACTTAAAGACAAAGACTTCAAGTGTAAAACATTGTCTTGGACTGATGAGTCAGCCATTCTGCTAAAGTCTGAATAGAAAAAATAGCGTCGCTGACATCAGGTTCTTGAGTGAAAAATGGATCAGTATACACTTCTTGAACTAATGCAGTCAGTGCAGGAATAGAAAACAAACCCAAAGTCGCGTCAAATACAGTTTCTCCCGTGCGTGGATGTTACGCTCGCGACGGGAAGTTGGCGGAAGTCCGCCTCGGGAAGTCCTCGCGCTCGGACACTGCCTGGAGCAGGCACTCGGGATTAAGATGGAGTACTATGTATAAGAGACGGGTCGTCAAATTTCGGTGTATCTTCCGACGGAGAATTCTCATCAAGGTAGTTGGTCCGTCAATCAAACCGTTTTCTTACGAATCCCTTGAAATTTTAGCCGCATATCGATGGAAATACCATTTATACATCTATAAAATTAGAGAGTGATTGACCATTCAGAAACTGAGATATTCGCAACTAAAAATATGATATTTCTTATATTTTCTTGAGGTTAATGTCTTTTTTCAACTTGTATTTTTAATTTCTTCTAAAACGCACGTAGGATTTTAATAAAAAAAAACTACTGTGATATTAAGGACTAATATTAGAGACATTGTATAAAAATTTCAGAATTATTGACCGTTTTGTTTTGAAAATATAGCCATAGGAAATTTGTAGTAATGCCCGTGATATATATGTACATAATACATATATTTAAATATTTACGTACCATTTTCTATTATATGTATATCTCTATTAGCTGAACTGACGTATGAATAAAGCATTAACGAGAACAATAAAAAATCAGTAACACATCTCCGTGTTTGTTAATATTGTGTGTATACTTGTCTTAATTTCGCTCAGAATTAACGTTTATTACTTAGATAGTTAAAGTTGTAGGAAAATATATATTTTTTTTCAATAAATAATAAATTTATATTAAGGGCCCCTTAATATCGCTCCTTGAAAATCTGATACTCTACCTGGACCAACTACATACTATCTTTTGCTATCATGCGCAGAGTGTGTGTCTGCGTTACGGTTGCGATCGTGCCCGTATTATATTAGACGATTATATGCATCTCGTCAACCAGCGTAAAGCCTGGCCTCCTTGTTACTTGCAGCATCCGGGTATAACCGGCCTGAAGAACTTGGGCAATTCTTGTTACATGAACAGCATCATTCAGTGCCTGAGTAACACGACGCACTTAGCGAAATACTTCACCGACAACTCGTACGCGGACGATCTCAACACGAGTAACGATAACATGACGCAGGGCCAGGTCGTGGAGGAGGTGGCTCAAGTGATCAAAGCGCTGTGGAGAGGTCAATACAAGAGTATATCCCCTCACGATCTCAAGGTATTTTTCTTCAGCTCTTGCCCCAGGTTCTCTCCCGCTTTAGTTTCAGCTAGCTTTAAGAGAGTCATTACTCAGAGAAAGAATTAGCCATAGGAGTTAAGATCCAATTGTGGCAGCTAAAATGTGTCTTTGAAATTGGGATTGCTACTGTCGTTGCTACCACAACTAAAGAAACTAATGGGTAAAATGGGCTAATTTTTAAAAAAGTGTAACGTATAAATGTAAATTATAAGAAGTGTAACGTAAATTTTATATGCGTAATCTTACGTTTTTTTGGGTCGCTGAATATGATGGTAGCATTTTTATTTGTCTAAAATGGTCAAAATTCGTCTTAAAAAAGTCGAAATAAATCACTTTTTTTAAAAATAGTAATGTGGTTAGTAACGATTTCGTTCCAATTATTTAATTACCTATATTGTAGTTTATTCGTTGTCATCAGAATCTGAAATTAAATATATTAATCCGACATAAAATATATTATTTAAATATTCACTAAAAACAAGTGGAACTTCTGAGGTAATGTGGAAGTCCGCTATTAGCCATTTTAATATCCCCTAAAATTGCATTTTATCTCTAATAATAGCTAATACATTTAGTTGCGGTAACAACGACATTAGCCGTCCCTATTTTAACTGCCACAGCTAGATTTTAGCTCTCGTAGCTATTTTTTTTTCTCCAAATGAAGGCAGTTATTTTCTTCACTTTCCTTATTTTCTTCACTTACGCTTCGGTGAAAGATTAGGTATTTTGGCTTTTATTTCGATCTTCATACGTAATCCTTTTGATATTTACACGACTGACCATCTTGTTACCAGGTCGCGGTCGGGCAGTATAAATTGCAATTCGAGAGTTACGAGCAGCAAGACTCCCACGAGTTTCTCACGTTCCTTTTAGACTGGATGCATAATGACCTTAAGAAGGTAAGAGTGTTCGTTGAGGACGCGTAAACGTAAGGGAGAAAATAGCGAAGATATTAGAGCTCCTCTCCTTTCACTCGTAGGAATCAAAAATGCCGATTGAGATGACCAACGCGGAGAAAGAATGGGATAAGGCGATGAATTCGCAAAAGTCCATTATATCGGACCTGTTTTTCGGCCAATTGAGGTCTACCATCACATGTTCGTCCTGCAAACAAGACAGCACCACGTACGAGACGTTTAACAGTTTAACGATGTCGCTGTCTCATTCTAATCGATGTACCTTGAATGTGAGTATATTATTCACTGAAACAACGGGCATACGGAAAAAAGGAATTAGCTGTCCATATAATACAACTGAAATTTAGTTACCTTTTAGCGATGTGAGCTAAAAACTAGGTATAGGGACAAAAGAACTAGCTAATTAACTGAAATTTTACTGTGGTAACTAGTTTTTAGCTGTGAGAGCTAATTTTTTTTCCATGCGCAATCAGAGGGATTTACATGAAAATTAATTATCGGCATTTTAAGATCCTTGCATACGTAACGCGATATAAGCGATTGAATAAGTGATTCACTAAAATAATTTGTTATATCACTTATTAAGTAAGAGAGATACACTGATATTCGCGACAATCGTATCCCTTGTGTGAGGATGATTCGCTTTGCTGTGTCAGGATTGCATGGAAAAGTTCGTGACAGGACAGAAGGTGAACGGCTGGAAGTGTCCCAAGTGCCAGACGCCCCGCGACGCGACGAAGAAATTCGACTTCGTCAAGCTCGCACCCATCGTCGTGGTCCACCTGAATCGCTTCGCCGAGAGCGGCGGGTGGCTGGAAAAGCGCAACACCGCCGTCGACTTCCCCCTCTCAGGATTCAACTTGAAGCCTTACCTCGTCTCGGAGAACCCGACGGCTATGTCGAACAACATTCGCAATTACAATTACACCCTGTACGCGATGTCCAATCACTATGGGACGATGGACGGCGGTCATTACACGGCTTTCTGCAAGAACGCCACTCAAAACAAGTACGTGTGGCGAAAATCTTTTTTAGTGCACATAAATTATAGGAAGGTCATAGATAACAGGCATAATTAGAATTAGAATTATGAAAATAGGGAGCATGTGATTATATATCAACAAGTATAGAATGGATGTAGATGCAAAATTAGATAAAAAATTAGATAACGAAATGAGTAAAAATCTTTTTTAATTTCCAAATTTCAAGATCTTAATTTTTCGAGACAATGTATATCTTCCCACTTTTCTTTTGCTTACGATTTTTTACACGTCTCTCATAAAGAGGCCCAGCCCTCCCGTATACCGTGACTCGACGATGATAATTATAATTGTAATCATGAATATATATATATATATATTTACAGATGGTACAAGTACGATGATCAAACTGTCACAGAGGTGTCGCCGAACCAGGTGAAGTCTCAGAACACGAGTGCCTATTTATTGTTTTACACGTCGTTTCCGAACACGATCATGTAGTATGAGGACGCGAACGGAGGAATCAAGAATCGATCGTGACACCCGTCTCGAAAGTCTTCAGCGTGATATTACTTAAGAGAAGCATCATACAAGAAGGAATATGATCTTCGACGCTCTGTAGATATTATATCGGTTACATCGTCGGTTTTAAGTAAAAAGTCATTAACTAGCATCGCGAAGATTTTAAGAGAGAGAGAGATAGAGAGAGAGAGAGAGAAAGAGATTCTTTCGACAAGCTTTACTGGCCTCTATTGACAACTTTGTTGCGTAACGTTCCATTGCACAATTTGATTGTAACGAAAGGAAAAGCGAGTGAGCGTGAAGAGAAATTGCGTTAGAAATGTTGGCCGATTTCTTTTTCCTCGCAGACTTCGACGAGTCCGTCGTCACGAGCCATCTACCTCAAAATAACCGGCAAAAAGATCACACACGGAAGAAACAATTTTGCTGGGACGGCAAATTGCTTGTTAATATAATGACAGCGGAAAGATTTGTTATTAATTTTTGGTTACGCCTAAACAACGTTTTGTTGCAACAGTAAGATTATTTTCTCCGTGTAACAAATCTTTTCGCTGTCACTGTATCAATGAACAATTTGCCGTTCCAGGAAAACTTTTCTCCCCGTGCAGTGCTTGACTTTTTCCGCAAGACCGACGATATAATTAGTACGATAAATCCTATGCGCGAGCGAACGTATAGGGCTGTGACGGTATTAAAAGCTTTATTGGTGCTGGAATTTCGTTAAGAATATGTAAATAAGTAGGAGTACAGCAATTTCTCGATATTTCCATTGCAGTCTATCGCGCTAGAGGGGATGCGAAGTGTAGTTGTGTTCGAGAATATTTTAATATGTTGTATAGCTTCGAAATATTATATATATATACACGTGTGTGTGTGTATATATATACACACACGTGTATATATATTGTACCGACATATATCTAGATATGTATACATATATATTATATTAGTCAGATGACGTTATATATACATATACGTTCCAGCAACGTTATATCGTGTCCTAATGGGATTCAACTTTCTTTTCTTTTCTAATTCGTTCGCTTGGTTTCGAAACGAAGCGGAAGGGGCCATAGTTCCTTGCCTTATCAACGTTAGGCGGTTCACGTGAGACTTTCGTCGCAACCGAGGAAGAAGGTTTGAGCCCGAGGGATCCATCGTGTGTTTGTAAAGCGTCGTACTTTGCACAAATCTTCGTTCCGAGGGTCGTCGACCGGAATAACGTTAGGCTGATGCGAATCCCGTAGAGTAGAGGGTACAGGTGGTGTTCACTTTAGATCGATTAGCAGCGTTAAACTGCCTCCTTCGCTGCGCTGCCAGTGGTCTCTCCGCCGCGACGTGGTCGTTTTGTTACTTGAAAATCGACGCGCTTCGTGAAGCTCGCAAGCTTCTCAACGAGACGTAAGTTGCAGACTGATCGGCTTCTCGAGCATTGCTGAAGAAATCATGTCTTGTGATTGGTTCGCCCAGCGTGACGCCTTGATGTCTGTAACGTCACTCCGACAACGAGATACATCGAACGATGCGATCTCTAGTGTCGAGATATTTTGTATATATACATATAGCGGTTGTATATTGCCGGATTCTGAGGACAACCCGCGAAGGCTGTAGAACAAGAGGCAATTCTTCACTGAGCCTTCTAGTTCACCGCGTCCAAGACTCGCAATTGCCATATGCGATTATATACTTTATATTATTCACGATATACACGATATACACCCGAGTGATAGTGTCTCGACGAACAATGTTAACCCTCCGAGGGTCCGTGTCATTTGTGTCCGGACCATTGCAGGAAGTGCTCGTTTTTCACAATAAAATACTCAACAATTTACCGTTGGTGAAACAGCTATGTGGTCTTCAAGTAGAAGGGCAAAGAAAGTTCCAATAATTTTTGGAGATTTTCTCGAACAGTTCAAGAAGAGGAACGTCGAGAAAGACACAAATTACCCTGGAGGGTTGCTACTCGGAGGGTTAATAGCAACATTGCGGCTAGGACAATGTACCTTTTCGTTTCTCTCTTTCGTTCGCTCTGTCTCTTCGCTAGCAGAGACAGTGCCGTGTATGCGATGTCGCAATGCTTTCCGCTCTATGTTTTGACGTTGAATTACGTTCGGTCTCGCAATAAAATTGCACAATTATGCAATTACAATTCGTCAGGACGACCGGTACTTGCGTCAGCGTCCTCGGGGATGCCAGGTCGTCTCGAGGATTTACAATACCGCACTATCGTTTAAGAGACTCGCAATGTTAATTTATATGGAACACGGTTTCAACGAAATGTACGAACTGTTCGAACACCGAGATGCGAAATCTCGAACTTCCGGGAACACGTGAGGAACGAAACGTAGCGTGATTGCACCCACGTGATTTTGTGTGCGCGCGCACGTGTGCGTATGTGTATGTGTGTATGTTTGTGTGTTAATGTCGAGATCGGAGGTTCGATTTCGCAGGCGCGGACACTTAACGAACGATCGATACATCACTTTAATAAATATGAAACCTTTAATACGATATGGAGCAATATTTTGTTGATTATTTCACGAATCGCACTTCGTCATTTCATCCATCGCGTGAGGATACAATTTTTTTGCGTCTCAATACGGTTTCGTCGCGTGACCGCGTCGCGACGTTGCATTTTGTAATCGCGGCGATACTCGCGATCAAATAAACGCATTGCCTGAATCTGATTTTCAATTAATTTCTTCCGAAACACGCGTTTGCGTTCCGGAATATTTTTATGAAATGTATGTACATATATATGTGTGTGCGTGTATAAATATATATGTACGAATGTATTCATCAAATATGATAAATTTACGTTCGCTATCTTGGTAATCTTTTGCAAGTTTGCGGAGCTGTTAATAAAATCGGGAAGTATCCGACAACTTCAGTGTCTTTGATGCGAAGATTTTCCGACGGAAACCGGCGGTGGAAAATACGTAAACACCATGTTGCAAATCAACTTAGATACTTGGAATAGTAACTCAGAAATATTTATACACGGACGGCCGTCAAAGTCATTGAAAGTCAGTCGCTCGACAGGCGCTACACAGACAGCCGTTTTCGTGTGTCGCGTCGTGTATAATTGTTAAAATTCAGCAGAGTTGGGTAAACTAATTTTTATTTTTTACTATTAAGTTTTTTAAGTTAAAAATTATCGGCCTGTAAAATTAACTTAAGTTAAAAATGATCTAAACGAGGACTAACTTAATTAAGAGTTACATTAAAATTAAATTAATTTATTAAAGATGAAAGTTAATTATGCAAAACACGTGTATATACAGGGTGTCTCGCTAAATCAACACTCACCGTGATCCAAAAGTCCACTCGTCGCGCTCAATCCCGGCTGAAATAATGCGAAGAGATCGTCGAGGTACTGCTGCGGAAATCGACGCTCCTTCGCATATCCCGCTCGTTCATTCACGCCGACACCGGCTCGACGTGCCAGCCGGGTTGTTACAATTAGCATCCGAGGGGGTGACAACGTCCCAGAGCGCAAGAGACCCCCTTTCGAAACTGCCGAACTTTTTCGCGTCGTTAATAACTCGCGCGCAATCTGTAGTCTCAATACACGTCCGTGCGCGCGATCCGCGCCTTAATCGGAAACTTCTCGCCATTTTTTCTCGGCCGCGCACCGCCACTCGTTAAGACAATTTATATTCTTATCCTTTAATGCGACTCGCCGGGGGCGCCCTCTTCGCGCCCCCGCCGCAGTCGACGTTGGGCGCCGCGCGCGCACTCGGCCCAACTTTTTCCATATTCCAATTAGGAATATTTCCCATTGATTTAAGGCCCGGCCGGGGCCGTGGGAGGCGGGCGAATATTAACGGCTTAACACCGCGATAAATTTACACTGCCGATATGCCGCGAGTGTATCCCTCCGGCCAGCGGGGGGGTGTCGCGTCCCCCTCTTCCTCGGGAGAGGGTCGCCAGCCGAAGGGCGAAAGGAGCGACGCTTTCTCTTACGTATGCCGACTTTTACGAGTCGCGAAAACTCCCGTAACATTAATCACCGTACTTATCCGAAATCGATGGAGAGCGGCTGTAAGTGGGCGAGCGCTGCCGATTTGTTTACGAGTGTTTCTTTCGCCTTCGGCCCTCCGACCCTTCGTGCGACGAAGAAATTATTTAAGCACGTGCCGACGAGAAGGCGTCGTAAAGAGGTGAGTACTATGTGCATGTGTGCGCCTCTAACGCTGGTTTCTTTCCTTGAAAATGTCACTTCATTTGTTTAGTCTCGACGTATTGACACATTTGTGTTTTTCGCGGCGAGTGGAGTGATTTATTATTGCGATAATGTAACGAATCGAGCGCCAGACTGTATTTTAGCTTTACGATACGAATAAGTTGCGTATATCGGTCGATTTTGCGTTGAGTTGTGTTAATAAATGCGAAATTAGATTATAAATTCGTAACCGAAAATTAAGCGAGAACGGTTGAATCGTTGTCGGACAAGCAGCGAACTTCGAACTTCGGGTTGCCCGTAAGTCGTCTTGTCGCCCACAGGTGGCGTTTGAAGCAATATTTCGGTCAAACGCTTCAAGTTCAAAAAATAACGCAATCGTAACGCTTAGTGTTGGCGCGCGCGACCATTTTTATTTCGGCACGCTGAATTCGTTACGCTGAAATACGCCGCATTTTTGGGTGAATATTCGATGACTAAATTTCGACAATAGTTTTCTCCGTAAGATAAACACCATCTTTGAGTCGTCAAGTAGTTTCGTGAACCTCCGAGCCCGAATTTGCGAGTATTTTCCATCGAAATGTCGCGGCTACTTGGGCGGAGCTTCGAAAGATTAACGAAGCCATATTGCTGTAATAACGACTTTGGTTGCGTTCTCTTTGGACTTACGCGCTATAAGCGTCATTCTATCTTTATTGTTTATTATATGCCAAAAGAAGATAGAATGAAGCTTATAGCGCCCAAAGAGAAACCGCAGCCAACTTGTATTTCGATGGAATCATGATCAAAACGAGCCAAATAATTTCATTTATTCGAGTTAATATTAATTAATTAGTTACAATTTTTCTCTTTTCATCCTTTTACGATAGTTGACCCGTAGAATGCCGAATTTTTAGTAGCGTTATTAAGGTTCCTGGTCTTTTGCTGCAACTCGAACAATCAATGAACAGTCGTAAAATTAATATTGACAAAATCATAAGAAAAGAGGTTGGAAAAGAAGGTTCTGTGTCAAGTTAATTTTGCAACTATTTATTGATTGTTCGAATAAAAGAATAATGTTTGGACAATTTTACAAATATGTTGAATCGATCACAAGTTTCATTTTGTGGGAATATTTTTTTATTTGAATGTATAACGCAAGAATTCTTGGCATATATTTTCTCACTTCTGACGTCATCAGTTAAAGATAGTTGCAAGAAGGGACCAGGAGCCTTAAGGGATATATATAAATACTATATAAGTTTATTATTTACTGAACAAAGAATACTTTCCTATAACTTTATTTAACTAAGTAATAAATGTTAATTTTGAGCGAAATTAAGACAAATATATATACACACACAATATTACAAACATATAAATATTATTTATTTTTATTTCTTTTTTATTAATGCTTTATTTATATGTCAGTTGAGCTAATAGAAATACATAGATAATAGAAAGTGGCATATAATATTTAAATATATATATACCTATATAACATGCATGTCTACAAAACATTTCAGAAATGTCGTTTAAACGTCTTATTGTCTTAAAGACATCTTTATGACGTCTCAAGACATCTTAATGTTCTTTAGGTATATTCACCTAGTAAGCAGGAAATCATTAATACAATATTATTACAATGACAGTTTTTATAACATGTAACGTTTTCAAATATATAGTTTTAATGTTGTATACAACGTCATTGTTCATATTTAATTCAAAC